AAAGCATTCCCACTAGCAATTTCTTCAGGAATTGCATTCTCTAGTTTCAATTGATGTTGACACCATCTCACAACACTCCTAAAATAACATTACTTTCTGAAGCGCAATTTAAAATGTATGCTGTTTAAAATCTCAAATTAGATCTATTGTCCATCTATATTTTGATTATTAATGAAAGCGTCCATTCAAAGAGTCATTCGAAGTCAATCAAATACTGAAGGGTGATAGCAGGAGACCCCATCTAGTCATTCAGAGAAAATCAGGACAATCTGATGTAGAATTTCAAAATAAAATACTTTTGAAATCTCATATATGGGCTATTGTCCTTCTGTTTTTATACAAGAATAAATAAAAAACTGTCAAATTATCAAAGACTTATTTCACTCCAGGGTGATAGCAGGACACCCCATCTAGTCACTCAGAGAGAATCTGGACAATCTGATGTACAGTTTCAAAAATAAAAGACCTTTGAAGTCTCATATATGAGCTATCTTCCTTCTGTTTGTATCCAACAGTTCAATTGTTCGAATTACATTAAACCAGAATTGTCCCCCTTTTTTCTTAAACAGTGAAGAAAATTGGATATGTTAATGATATATAGACCACAAAACTCAAAATGTCCCCGCTTTTCATTTTGAAAATCTGGTCACCTTAATATAATGGCAACAAGAAACCCTTCGCCACAGGTAAGGACATAGTCCTTGATTCAACATCTTATTTAAAGTATAAAACATGATCGTTTTTAAATACTTTTACTCTATAGTTATACATCTACAATGTGCATTGTAGCCTACTGATGCCAAGTGATAAGACCATTTTTACCCTTTTTCTTGAGTTCGATAGAGCAAGATTTTTGCGGCTAACATCTGATTCAATTTTATTGTTGTACTAATAAAGAACTTGATCAAATACACTTATGAAGGCAAACTGACAGTAATACAGTTTTGGCATACTTGAGTATTTTTTACTTATTGAATAACTCATTGATTGCTTGATTTTTCTCTATACAATGTGTCTTAAAGCTATAGTTAATTTGTAGTTATTGCCTGCACTTTATTCATAAAATGCTTACATATTAAAGCTTCAGGGAATAATTAAATATTATAATACATACTAAATGACCACAGCAATTTTCATTAAGATAACAATATTTCTTTTTTTGAATGCAGGACCATTGTTAGAGCTGATCAATGTGGCCATGCTTGAGGATTTCCTTTGCTCAATGTTGGCAATAGTGAAGAACTCAAACATCTCTGGACACGGAAAACTCAGGGTTAAAAAACTAAGAGTCTCTGGTAAACATACTTTGAAAGGCCCCTCCACTCTGTATCACGACAGACTGCGGTGTTTAGGCAGTATGGCATGTCTTAAAGTCTATGATATTCAGTTGTTAGTTTACTGACTTTACCTGTTTGTACATCATCATTATACATGCAGACTTCTGCTTTGTCAATGATTCTGTGACATGCAGCTTCCAAAAACACTTAGACTGTTTTCTAGTAAAGCGTGATCCTGCATGTTGTCAGTTATTGTCCATTTTACAAAGTAAATCATTAAAACATATTATTTTTCTGCTTTTACACTTTGTTGAATGTTTTCTTCATCTCAGTCTCCCAGTTTAATATTGCATTTGGATTGTTTTTTAATTCTGGGTTCCTTTTTCAATCGTATCTGTAGCCTCGGATAAAAAGGTTTGTTATCAGAAACAAATGACGTAGGAGCAATACTAATGATTAGATGTGTAGAGCTACAGCGTCTTCTGTACATTATCTTATGGTATGTAATGTATACAGGATAATTAGGTGTAATGCCTCAATATCTTGCAGGCAGATTCCTAAAATGGAAGGTCTGCAAGGGATATGGAAGTGATTGTATAAACAGTCTGCTGTGAAAGTGCAGGGGAATTCACAGAGAGAGGATTTATGAGTCTATGCTTTGTGTAACCCAATATGGCCGGCCTTGCAGTGATGTATTATCATACAAGCTTGTGATCCTGCTCACTTTAATTAATGTTTTTCTTAAATTAAAATATGATAATAAGTGTAGGCCTACACTACAAACCAATCTGTGTATCTCCGTCCAATTGTTTTTCTTTATTAAACACGTAAACGGAAGAGCGTCTGAGAGGCGTTTTTGCTTTTTACCTTACTAAATAGAGGCAAAGTCCTTCCCCTTCCGGGGGGACTCATGGGCCGAAATATTATCTTTTGATCCCGTTTGAATTGTGCCACGAATTACACATATGATGTTTGTCAATCTTAAATAATAATTTCCATGTCAAAAAAGTCACAGTTTGTCGTAAAACTGTTGAAATATAAATGTATAACTTTTCCGAAATAAGGTCCCATGGAGCTCAACCGGAAGGGGAGGGACTTCGCCTCTCTATAGAGTGGCGAAGTCACGCCCATCTACTCCATGGGACCTTATATCGGAAAAATTATGTATTGAAGTCAATGAAGAGAGAAAACTTATCTTTCGATCCCGTTTGAATTGTGCCATGAATTACACATATGATGTTTTTCAATCTTAAAAAATCATTTCCATGTAAAAAAAGTCACAGTTTGTCGTAAAACATGTTGGAATATAAAACTATGAAAAATACTCAACTAGAAAGACTACAAATCCCGGAGTCGCGTAAGTGATGTCATAACTGATGTCACAATTGTTTTCCTCCACCAAATAAGAGATAGCTAAGATAAGATAACTTTAACAAGGTGCCTGAGTGCTTAGTACCAGGTTATTATCATACCAGCAATGGGTCTTGCTCGTTCTTTCGCTTCCCGTCTGATGAAAGGACCAGGAGTGGCTGGATCAAGTTAGCTACCTAGCTAGTAGCAAGCACGTTAGCATTACAGTCTTAGCCTTGTCATTTGTATCAGCCTTAACATGAAGTAAAATGAAGTAACCCAAAATGTTAAACAGTAAGAGTAGTCATATTTCGTGAACCCTTTGAAGAGTACTGTCACACCGATGTGATCATTCTATAATACACCATTTAAGCCCGGGGGAGAAATGCTAACGCTAACGCCACATTAGCATCGGCGATCTTTTCTACTTCATGCTATCTGCACAAATGGTTGACATTAAACATTAAAAAGATCAGGCAGTTCAGAGAGAATCAAAGGAAGGCAGGCAGGTAGGCAACTTTGCATGACATTCTTCTGTTGCGTATTTTTCACAGTCTTATATTTCAACAGTTTTACGACAAACTGTGACTTTTTGACATGGAAATTATTTGTTCAAATTGACAAACATCATAAATGGTAAATGGACTGTACTTATATAGCGCTTTATCCAGTCTTTAAGACCCCTCAAAGCGCTTTTACATACTACATGTCATTCACCCNCGATGCTGATGAAACATTTGTCGATGGTCATTCAGCAGACTGACATCTGCACGCAGGCACGAACCATCGCCGACCCACCCATTATGATTGAGTCTGAGATTTTGAATGTCATTTAAAACAATGATGATTACTCCTGTGCTGATTCATGGTTCCTTCATGATGTACACGTACATTGTAGTGATCTCAGACTCAATCATAATGGGTGGGTCGGCGATGGTTCGTGCCTGCGTGCAGATGTCAGTCTGCTGAATGACCATCGACAAATGTTTCATCAGCATCGTGTTTGTGTCATCTCAGTTTCCGACAAGTGATTTCTCCTCATCCAAAGAGTTGTCACTCAAGAGCATAAATGGCATTGAATTAAGTTTGTGTCACTCCACCTCTTCTGCATACTTTCACACTGCTTACACTGGTGCGGTAGACACCTCCAGTGTTGTAACTGTAAAGTGTGATGGTGTTCAGGTTGAATGTGAGGTATTTTGCACTCCTGAGATTAAACGTTCAATGCTTTGATTTGGTGTTTGTTTCAGAGAATTAACCTGAATGAATATTTTGAGGTGAAAACCTCATTTGAAACGAAAATCTGTGCTCAGCTGGCTGGGTCTCGTGAGTTTTCCGAGTGTGAAAAGGCCTGCTATCACATGATGAAGCTAAGGTGTTTCAACAGCAATCACTTCTTTGATTTACACTATTGCTGCTGCGCTTCCACACATCGTTGACCAAGAAATGTTGGGTCTCATTTTGGCCAAAGAACTTAAGGACACAGGAATAGTATGAACTGTATGCATATATTTTGGTGAACTTGATTCCTTTTTTAAATCTGTATAAAGTTGTATCTATGATTTTTATTTTCTATATTGAATGTGACTTGAAGCCACTGCAGTATAAAGACCACGGCTCTCCAGGACGATTGTGTGGTATGCTTGATGATTGTAACTTTCAGTGTTAATTTATAAATGTGTGTCTGAATGTTTTTTCTAAAAAGCTATAATAAACTTAACAAATCTAAACACTTTTGCTTATTCTTTGATGCTACTACCCACTGATTTGACACAGGGGTTTAAAGGTGGGTTCTTGTTGCATGTCAGTCATAGCACAACATTTCCCCCCCTCGTTTACTGAAGGCTATAAAATGCTCCAAAAAAGTCCAAGAAGCGATCAAGAGGATTAAAAACATTAAGTTATTAAAATAAATGAAGACAAAGTCAAATGAAATAAGTCAAATCACTTTTCTTTTTAATGCAACCCGTGTGAGAACATCTATATTTATGAACTGTCCACTGACAGACATAAACCAAACAAACACATAAATGACACTCTTTACCATAACCACAATAACACTGATAAGAATAACTGACCTTTTACACACAAAACCCTTTTCATTCACTCCAGCAGGACAGCACTTACTTTACCTTTCAATTGTAACTTAGTGTAATGAAAGTTCAAGACATGAGAACACAGCACAACATTAGTTCAGAGCTTTATAAGCTGACCAGCTCCAAGAATAAATATCCAGACAATATATATATATAAATATACCGTAAGCACCCGTACTTAGCCAAGGCCATTAAGTGCAAATAATAATACATTTCTTTTTTAATAAATTGTCCCAGTGGAGTTATATACCTGTAGTTTCTGGTTTAACTCTATTTCAGTAATCTACAAGTGATGGTAATGTACTGAGATATACAGCAGAATGCCAGCAAATGCAGGGAAGAAGAAGACAGGTTGCTCTTTACCATGGCTGTAAATAATGGAGTATTTGAAATAGCTTGTTCTATGAGGAAGGAAATGTGTTAAATGTGTGTTAAACCTCATGAACACACACACACGGTGTTTGAAACTGAATGTAATCATAATGTGTGTTTGTTCATAAGAAAACTCCACAGGGCTTTTTACATTTTTGAATATATCTCTACACGTTTTTCACTGTAATGCAATAATACACACCCTACCCCAAGCTGTTTTAAATGATTCATTGACTTAACAGTGATTTTTTATCATTTCAGCAACCTTTGTCTTTCCTTACCAAAATACTGCTATTATAAGAAGCCCAGCAGCCTGTTGGGTTATGATGACCGACGGTAGGTGATGTGCAAGTGCTGCATCAGAGGCTGGTTGTCTGTTGCCATGGAAACGCTCTGCTCCAGCCTCCCATCTGATCGGAGCTGAATCACTCGAGAAATCTGAAGAGTGCGGGCAAGGACATCAGCACAAAAGGAAGCATAAATAATTTATTGAATAAAACAAGTTATGTTTTGTTGATGCTTTTTGGACTGTGTGTGGGCAGTAGTTAATATGAATTATTAATGATGCAGGATCAGAGAACCGGTTTTACCTTCTGCACATGCGGCTCTCTGGCGAAGGAGGTCCGGGCCACCGCCTGGCTCTGAAGGTTCAGCTGCTGCCCGGTCAGATCCCCCTCCTCAATCTCCACCAGACCTGCACATAAAGACACACTGGTCTCAAAACATGTCTGAAGTCACAGGAAGTTAGCGCTTACAAATTCACTATATGCACAATTTTAAGTTTAGTTTATGAGAAAAATGTATCTCTCTGTCATGTCTGGAATATATCTCTTCACTAATGCATCTCTTATATTTATATATTCAATTTAACCTTACAATTACCTCAGATAACACTACATATCAGGCCTTTGCACATCTGAGTGATTACCACATATAACAGAAATACAAGTACATACAAAACAAGGGTACATCCAGCAACATGAATGTAACCACCTGAGTTCTGTGCAATAATGAACGCCACTCTGTTAGTTCCCGGCTGCATTCGAATGAAACCACACTCCCTGTGCATGGGCCTTTTGGTCTCTGCATGGAAGGCGTTAAACCTGTCAAACAAAATAAGAACGAGAAATGAATAAAACATAAAGTCTGTTAACAGGATGCACATTTCCTAAGGTAAGATGTAAACAAAGAGTTGAGAAAATAAACCACAAAATGTTTCAGCTTAGTGTTACATTTCTAAATTCTCCCAGAGTTACCTACGTGAAGTTGATGACTGGTTGTCCCACATGGCTGAAGTTCAGTGTCTCTGTGTAGTGGAAAGGTTTTATGGTGGGAAAATTGCCCTCACCAGGTTCATCCGACTCCCAGGTACCCAGAAGCCAGTCGAGGGCGAGGAGGGCTTGGTTTAACTCCACTGATGGTAAAAAACATCATAATCAGGAAATAATATCATCAAACGCTCCATTATCATGAAAACAGAGAACAAATTCAATCAATATCAGGTGGTGATGGGTGATGCCACAAATAAGAATACACTAATATACTGTAACTCAGCATGTCATTCATTTTGAATGAACTTTTAATCAAACAAACACAATGTTATACAATTGGGAGTAAAAAAACAGACCAGAGTAACACCTTTAAAACACCAAGATAACAAATCAAAATACTCTTAATAATTTCTCCTTAAAGCGTTTATTTTTCCATTAATTCTATTTTTTCTTTTGTTTAAATGTATCTAATTGTCTTCTGATCAAAGTGTAGGCTATCTCTCCTTGTCATTCACTTTTATGTAAAGCATAAAACAACTGTTGCATTTTATGTTGGAAATGTAGAATAGAAACGAGAACTCTTGCTATAGTTATAACAATATTGCCTGGACTGCATCCTATTCAGGTAGGTTTTTAATATTATTTAAATGGTTTAATCCCAATGTCTTTGATTTACACATTTTGCTGACAATGTCACCAGAATCTGAACAGTATTGAACAGTAAAATTGTTAAGTTAACCTTTATGGCAGAGCTTTTAAGTAACTGGAGAATGTGAAATAAAAGAGCCCCCTAAACGTATATTCCTGCAACAGGGAGGGAAGAAAATGTGAATTAGATGCAAGGAAGAGTCCTAATAAAAATGCACTGTATACACTGTGCTGCAGCTCTCCCATTCTAACGGTAGGTGGCGATGGAGCGAAGGACATTTGGCAGAAACCAGAAGAAGACTCTTCAGTAAATTCAGAGGAAGGTGGATGTTTTGTTCAAAACTCATATCAATAATATAAGTAACACTTTGCAAATAACACGCATTTATCACAGCAAAATTTGGCAACGTTTTGATTCGCAGACCACAACATAACCCATTTAAAAGTCAGAGTACTAAAACAACGTCTCCACCTATCCCTGGTTGGTTTACTGTCACGGAAGTAAGCTACTTTCGGTTGTTAAAGCTCACTGATATCCTAATTTCAAAGATAAGCTTGATTTAAAAACTCACAAACCTCAGGACAAATGTAACGTTTGCACTTTGATAATTTTTTGTAAATTATTGCTCTAAAAAGCTGCCGAATTATTTTTTAGTAACCTTACTGCAAGGTATCATTTGATCCCTGCGACATTGCAGCATGAACCTACATTTGACATTGATTCTAATATGTGTATAATATAATATTATAAATGTTAACCGTTGTCCTACCTGTCTGATTTGCAGGACACGCCATTTTATAATCCAAATTGCAGTCAATAGACTCTAAAGCGAGTATAAATCAGGAAGAAGCACTAACACAGCTGCTCTATTATGTCACGTAATAAACTGCGACAGTGTTGTTAATCAATTTTATATACGGCTATCACAGAAGGGAATCCTGGGTAATGTAGTTCTGATTCATATTAAGCACATGTATAGACTTTTGACCATGCTTTTGACATTAGTACTGTTATCACACATTAAGGCAGGAAAATGAGTGTTTGATAAATTAAAGCACACTTTATTGACAGCTTTCAGTGCACTGAGAGTGGAACATAAATGAAAACATCTACTCCTTTATTTCTAAACTAGTGTACTTACGAAAGGCCCATTGCCTTAGGTTTCATACAATCTCTACCGTCAAAAGCACAGACACATGCAGAACCGATGCGCTGTTCCAGGTTTCTAGCGTTTTCGGGACACTTAATGTTTTATTCCTCAATGAATGAGTACAGGTTGAATGGAGAACGTTCTCTTAATTAAGCCTTGCTCTTTTGCAGTTCTTCAGAGCGTCTGCCAGGGCACGCAGTGCCATGTCAGCATTGGTCTTCTCGCAGTTGTATCCCATCAATCCAATCCTCATCACCTAATGAAACGAGAGGTGGGAAATGCATTAAAAATGACTCAGCAGCATGACTCAGAAAGCTGTAAAGGCTACAAACTGACAACATTGCTCTTGCTATAACTGATGTGGTTTGATCTTAATGTTTACTTGATTAGAATATTCTTAATGAGACTATTTCCCTGGTTATGTTTATTTGGGGAGACATTGTTATCTTTTTAGAGCAACCTGATGCAAAGATGCTGAGATTATTGTTCACATCTACAATCTACAGGTCAGCTGATAATGACTACAATGTCAAAGGCATACATGTGTCTGTCAACTGTACAGGGTTATCATATTGACAGCAAGCACCCACCATGTCCATTGAAGGACCCAGGCCCCCAGTCATCTCCATCTGGTGGTGTTTCATGATGTAGGCCAGCAGCTCCCTCCAGTTGTAGCCTTCAGGGATGGCGATGGTGGTGACAGAGGGAAGCCTCAGGTCCTGCAGGATACAACATAACTGTCGGTTGTAGTGCAGTGATATACAGAGCTCCAAACTGATACTTTTTTCGTATATTCTTTAGCGTTTTATATCTAGCGTGTCGTTTTGTTGTTGTCTGTATCACCATATCAGGGATGAAGAGCTTGAGGCCCAGGTCCTCCAATCCCCTGTAAAGGTAGGCTGCCACCTCCTTGTGCTTCTTCCAGGACTCCTCCAGCCCCTAGAGGGAGACAAAGATCAATGGAGGTACCAGGAGGTACGTGAGAATCAGACCAGAAGTTAGAGACACTGCCATTACAAGGCCAAACTACTGCTGCAGTAATAGAGGTTGTGTGCTTTTTCTAGCTAAATGAAAACACAACTTCTATATCACATTTTACAATATATTAAAAAAGGCAGGATTTGATAAATACTACCTTTTATTCTACTCCTTTTTTCAGACATGAAGAATCTCCTTTTTTATTGATAGTTTGCTCTATGCTTTTGCTAGGTATTATAGTTTTATTATTTCACTTATAGTTTTATTTTTTTAATAAAAATAAATAAAGAGCATGGTTTGCCCCTATCACAGCCCGGAATTTGTATCTGTAACAAACTGGCTTAAGACAAATACAGTGTAGGCCTACGTAAATACATTTTAGATCACATAAACAAAGATACTAATATGTATTTAATTTCCCTTTACCTTCTCAGCAACAATGGCCAGACTCTCTCTCAGGGCAAAGAATCCAGACACTGGACCGGTGTGGTGGTATCTAAAACCCAGAGCCAACCAAAAAACGTTTCATAATAATACTTTAAGTTAAAATATGGTTTTAGGTGACATGAAACCGTTGTGGACTTACAGTCTGGCTGGTTGGCCATCACAACCCCAGTAGTTGGACAGACATGTCATGTCGAAGAGGTAGGATACTGGTTTTGTTTTCCTGTTAAACATCTTGTGGCTTTGAGGGGTAACAGGGAGACAAATAGATACATGAATGGTCTAACTCTAATAATCCTTGCAGTGGCAGAAATGTATCTCTCAAATGGACAGATGCATACAGAAAGCCCCCCCTCACCATGCTCTGTCATTAAAGGAGATGGGTGCTGTGCCAGGAGGCGCGTTCAGAGCCTTCTGAGAACCAGTGTACAGGATGTCAATATCTGGAAGCACAAGAGGCAGATTACATCACGCACAAGCACATTGTAGCAGCTGACAGAATGTGATCTGATGTTATTCATTGTTTTATTTATTTTATAGTCTTACTTTGCTTGTCCATAAAAATTGGTGCTGCACCAAGAGATGCGACTGTGTCAACCAGGAAGAGGCAGTTATGTCTGGGGGAGAGAGGACAGTATAGGGGAAATATTATATTTGATGTCGTCATTTTATGGAAGTGTATGTTCAGGCAGATGCATTCGGAGGCTTACTTTCTGCAAATGTCTCCAATGCCGTCTACTGGGTGACAGAGGCCAGCGGAGGACTCTCCATGTGTGAGGAAAAACAGGACGGGCTTGTGTTTTTCTACAGCCTACAGAAAGATGTAGAAGTGAGTTTAATCGCATGTGTTCTTGTTACTTGTACAAGTCACATACAAGTTCTGGTTGAGGTAGACATTTGTGTAGTGGTTTATTCTAGCTTTAGTAAATGATAGTGCCTACCTGTTCAATTTCCTTATTGCTGAAATATCCTCCAGGTGCTTTTACCATTCTATGTACATTGGCACCTAAAAGTGTAAAAACAAATGTCATCATCTGTAATGGATAGAATGAAAGAAAGGTGAAAGAAGTAATCAGATAATCAGAACATGGATATTATTAGATTAAAGTACTTTAAAACCTAACTTAATCACAGTACTTGAGTAAATGTACTTTGTTACTTTCCACCAATAGAAAGAGAGATAGGTAGAGGAATGCATGGTATAATGCTAGAGTGCACAATCCGTGTAAACGTATGTGTGTCTTCTTTGGAGACCCAATTGACGCGTGCGTAAAACCTTGCGTAAAGACGTACCCATTCTTTCTGCAATTTCTGCGACGCGCTCTCCCCAGATACCGTTGACGCCAACGAGCACGCTCTCCCCCGGCTCCACCGTGTTGAACACTGCACACTCCATGGCCGCGTGCCCGGAGCCACTCATAGCTATAGTCATGTTGTTCTCTGTCTGAAAGATGTACTGGATCCCTCGCTTGATGTCATTCATGATCTGGCGGAGACAATACAAAGTTTGAAATCTCGTTTAGCATTTAATTAGTCAGTTATTGTTACCAATCACTTGAAGTTATTTCAGTGCAATTGCCATTGATTTGGGATAATATGCAAATATTTATTTGATAACTTTTATAATAAAATCTGAAGAATGTATTTTAACATATGTGTTGCACCACAACAAACCTTCAACTTTAATGTATTCTAAGAAAACTAATATTTCCGTGGTTAAGAAAATATTTCGCAAGTTGTCCTTTACCCTAATTAATGAGCAAGTGTGCACAATTTTAAAATGTAACAATACTAAATGAATTCTGTATACTATTGAGATGTTCAAACAAAGCCTTTACCTCATACATTTCTGGATGCAGGTGACCGATAATCGGCCTGCCCTGTGCGGCTAAAATACGTGGAGGAACGTTTGATGGTCCAGGTCCGAACAGGTAACGCAGTGGAGTCTCCAGCGGCCTGAGCATGCATGCCGGCGGTGGGATGGAAACGGAGGACATGGAGCGATCTAGTCTGAGCAGCAGAGGCGCGCTCCTGGCGGCCAACGGACCGTCGAGGGCCGCTGCTGCCTGCTGAGCGAGCAGCGCGCTCCGGCTGAACAAAGCCCGCTGCATGACTGCTGCTGGTTCCTGAGAGCCTACCCCGAGTGACTGAGGAAATGAACCTGACCAGGAGTTTTAGGTACATATTTAAAACAAACAGGTCTTTGACCTGTTGGCCAAGGGGCGGTGTGCCTCCCCTCACAGCTAACCCTGCCCTTTAGTTCAGGCTGGGAGACACATAAACAAAATACAAAATTATGTTAAGAAATATGTTTTTATCCAGCCAAGTGTCAAGCGTCCACATTTAAAATGTATTCAAGACAAATTAAATTATTTCATAATTTTGTACATGACATCGTTTTATTGGTTTAGTTTTGGTTAATTAAAACATATTTAAAATACAGGTAATCATAAATATTGGAGATATGTGAAATGGGGAACCGGTAAGACTTTTGAAGTAAGAGAAAAGAAAGTGGGCTAGAATATTTAATATAAGAAACACATTGTGTTCATTGGAAAATTGCAAGTAATAAACACTGAGATTTACAAACTAAACACCAGACTAACCCAAGAGAAGACAAAGACCATAGAAAGAAACTTTAACCAAACTAATTGGTATCTAAACATTTATTCCATCAGTATAAATATTTATTGGATTTTTAGAGTATAAAGTGACTACTTTAAGGTCATACATAGGAAATAGTTCAAAATGTAAGAAAAGTGTTGCCAATGTGAACACTCTCAGTGCGTGTTGGCATTCTTTCTTACAGTTTTGATCCACCACAACTGTTTTTGTGACTTATTGAACTTAATCTCCATGACTGTTGAACATTTGTGGAAAGTTAGGACATTCAAACAGAACTGGTTCAGGTCAGATGCAGGTGGTTTGTTGATTCTGTCTGAGCCAGCGCTGCTTTTGTCAAGAGGAGTCTCCTCTCAGAGAGCCAATCACACACACACACACACACACACACACACACACACACACACACACACACACACTCAAACAGACACAAAGTTATTATCTATCGTGCAAATCATCATACATAATGTTTAATGTTCTTTGTGAGGTAAGATTTAAAAGCATTCCCATTGACTTTGTTATTTATTCTCGTTCAAATTAGAGGTTTTATTTTTCACACACAAAATAAAATGTCACACAAGGGCCTGAAACGTTTTTTACCCACACAGCTATCTTTATTCACCTGTTTCGGGTGTCAGGTCATCAACGGATCAACGGGCATCAGAATGAATCTCATGTTCAATTTTTTTGATGAATCATAATACATTTTCCAACACAAACAGGATTTGGTGGAATATGCAGAGTGCATACAGTAAAATCAGATTTCTTTGTTAACCTCTGACCACTTCTGAGTGATCGAAGTGTGTTGTGTCTGAGCTGCTCTGCTGGGATTATGTAACACTTTTACATCATTTTAGTGCCAGGTGTATACAGAGATGAGTAACCGGAATGGGGAGTATTATTAATGGTATAGGATTGTTGTTGTGGCTAATTCTCCACAAAACATAGCTGGTAAGAGTATTCACAGTTTTGATCTCAAATTGACAGCAAACAGCAATTACTTTAACATTATGTAAACTACAATGTCATCCAGTTCTTCTTCAGTTGTTCAATCATTGAAATCATGTTTTAGTGAATGTTAAAGATTGAAAGAGGGATTAAACTGACACAGACAAACCATTGAGGTGAAACATTTCCACTAACAAAGAAAACAAAAGCTAAGTTTTGCTCCAGAAACTTAAGAGATCATATTTATTATTTTTAATTTAATTTTATTAGTCAATGTATTGAACATGTCAGAAACAAAAACATACATATAATATATATATATTCTCTTTTTTTCCTTTTTTTTTCTCACTCAAATGAACAATTATAACAAAGTACAAACAAATAATAATAAAAAAAACAAAACAAAAAAAACAATAATAATTCTCAGATAGTCTCTGTCATGTTCAACAGGGGCAAGAAGAAGCTTAAAAAAACTTTTCTGTTCCTACCCCCTCTAGCATATATTTTTCTTATAAATAAAATATTAGGTGATCGTCATCAGCGACATGTTTGTCTTGTTAATTTGTTTGCTTTTTGTTTGTTTGCAAAACAATCAGAAAGAAATTCCTTTTACAATTACAAGAAATAACAACAAATGGTATTTTACAGGTCCTGTTCATAACCATTAATGATTTGGCTCCTAAATAATACTTTCAGTTTAGATAGACTTGTACAATATTTCAGTGCATCATTACAGTTATTCCACAGACTAACACCTTTTGATGAGATGCAATGAAGTTTGGCATTTGTTCGTACGGGTGGCTTTTTGAAAATCAGTTTCCTCTCAACATGTGCATGCTTTCTATTATTGTCAGTAACTGAGTATAATCTCGTGTAACTGTAACTGTTGTTGTGTCACAGCCAGCAGGGGCCCCTCTCTGGGTCTGACTGGGTAAATAATTATACCTCTGGCAAATAGATTTGGACACAATGTTTTCCTCATATTGGCCTTTGCACTGAACGTAACACTCAAAATCTACCCAAACAGAGCAGGAGGAGGAGCTGGGAGGGACACGGAAAGAGGAAGAGAAAGATAAAGACATGCATGCTGTACAAGTTCATCCACAGGGGGCGTTATGAAACTGTCATGAATGACGCCATGACTCTCAGTTTATGTACAAGGCCATGGCCAGTTCATCCAAGTTTAAAAGACAGAACAGTGTTCTTATCTTCATTTCTAATCCTAATTTTTTACAATGTAAATACAAATAACTGTGGATGAACGAAGACCTTAACCCCACGTTTCCACAGATATATTGGTTTCTTATTCAATACTAAATCCTGGTAGGACATAATCAGAAATATGTTTTACTTAACCAGTTATTCTAAAATGTGCACATATTCTCATTAAAGATGCTTGAGAAATGGGCTCTTCGTGTAACAAAATAGGCCTATGCTGTATTATGAAAATAATTGTCAAAAAGAAAAAGTACTTTACCACTTACTCCCTTGTTCCATAGCCTATGACTGGCACATTCAGTTTAAAAAACTTATGCCAAACTTTAATTTAAAATGCTTAATTGATTTTGATCCTCTTCACAATGCATTTGCTGAGTCAGGTTGAGTCTGAGAGGTGAAAGCATGCACGCATTATCTCTGGTGCTGCTGTTGGTTTAAAAAGTGCAACATGGTGCAGATGCAGACTTATAATTGTACCTTGCTCAACTGTATTGAATCCTTCAGCAGCACATGCATTAACCAGGCTTTCCAGTTCATTATACATACAGTATATTGAGAACGTTTTTATTGAGGCCTATATGTTCATGTATCATCCTCTTATACAATTGTATTCCTAAAGAAATGACAAAACACATTGTGCTGTTGACAGTTATACAAACTGACTCCAAGCGGCTCTAAATGACCTTGAAGCAGGCCGCTGTGGCTGTAAATGCTTTGGCTAACTTGTTGTATGACTGTGATGTGATTTTATGTTTTAAAATGGTCTGTAACTGTGCTGTTACCTATCTTGGGCCAGGACTCTCTTGAAAAATAGATTGTAATCACAATGAGACATATCCTGGTTAAATAAAGGTAACATATATTTTTTGTGATAGCAAATATTCCTTTTGTAAAACATTTTATTATAATATGTAAACGTTTTATTTGATCAATGACCAGTTTCATGCAAATGAGCACTCCACTTGTCATGTTTTAACTAAGTTATCAGAACACTTTATTGTATTAGTCTCCCTATTTAAAAAAAAAACAATCAATCTCAGACATACTGTTATTTGACATTTACACTCACTAAACGAAACTTCCACCGTTATTTGTCTCTCCAAGGCTTACAAAGGTCTAGCCATGGGCCTCAACCCCCCTCGCCCCCTCCCACCCCCCGCTGTGTCCCTGCATCGCGATGCCTCATGGCTGCTGATGATGATGCTGATGATGTCACCGCCACCTCCCAGCATCCGTGCCACAGCAGCACCGCCATTTTCCCTGCTTCCAGAACGACTGACGGACAGACCGACGGTGGGCCGCTGAAGCATCCCGCACCCTTCCTCTCGCTGATCCACCCGGCCCTGACTCCTCCTCCTCCTCCTGCCTCTCAGCACAGTCTCGATTGACGCACCCAGCGCTGCTGCTGCTGCTGAAGCTGAGGCTGACTCTCCTTCCTAACGGATTCTCCATGTATGGAAGCGGAGAGGACAGGTTGTAGGCTGAGCAAAGACGGAGAAAAATCCAAGCTGCTGAGGAGATCCGAGGAGGAGGCACCGGAGCATCCGGGCGCTGTTTTGAATGGGCAGAGGATTCACCTTCTGCGGTCGTCGAGTCTGAGTTGAGGTAAGACACTGCTCCTCTGAGAGGTTTTTCTTTCGGTATTAATGGGTGTCACGCTTCGGTGAGGACGGTATTTGTATGTGTTGATGATTATGAGGCCTTTTGTACGCGTAACGACGCTGCGTCAGGGTATTTGATTCCGCCTCTGTCAACAATTATGTTTCAATAATCAAGTCCATCTCTTAAAAAACACCCCGAATCGAGTAGGAAAACACATGATGTTATTCAAGACGTTGATGTCATTTATGCGTAAATGATGAATGTTGAACTCCTTTCTGACGCAGTGTTGGATGATTTTGTGTTTGTCCCGTTTATGTTTACGCGGCCTGCCTTTGAGGTGCGGCAGGGGAAGCAAGATGGAGGAGACAATATTTACATGACTGATATATCTTTACCGCTAATGTCTCCTAAAATGTTATGAAAATATGTGTCATCCTTCATTTTTCCATGAACATACAGTATAAAGGCTTATTATAAGTATGTTAAGGATGCTTTCTTTTCCTCCATCGATTCAGACAGAGAAGATGGATGTGCGCGTCGCTGCCTTGAAACAATTATCCTAGTGTTAAAAATCTGTCTGGTCTGGTCATTAACTGATTAAAAAAAACATAACAGCCATCATTTTGGGATTTAACAAGAGGAGCAGTGTAAAGATTTGGGCTAATAATTGTAAATATGCTGTGAAAAACATCACAGCTGATCCTAGACAGTGGTGTGTTGTTTTGAGAAGAGGGGTGATACAGTTTCAACACAAGGCCTTCATCCTAGGTGCATGAGGCCAGGGGATGCAGCCATTTTTCTGTGGAATAGCAGGGACGCTGATAATTTTCCTGCCAGAAAATTGCCTAGCCATTTAGTCGGCCTGCGGGAGCTTTGTGTCTTGCTCTGACTGATAAGGGGTTTGAAAATGAAGAATGTGTGTCAGTTTTAGGGGTTACATTTGGCTTTCAAGGCCCTGATCTCCATATTATATTACAATAAAAGCAACAGGCCATAGATTATCATATTATTTATGTATTTTCCTTTATTTAGCATTCATTAAATGTGTAATTAAATGTATCACGGTGCAAAAAAAGTGCCCTGTGTCCATCTGAGAATCCCTCTCATCTTCTATTTGTTCAGGTACCAGGTGTGTGTGTGTGAGTAGCCACACAGATCTTCAGCTCTCTGCTCCCTCACACAACCTCCTGCAACATGGCGGCAGCGTCAGTAAAGGTGGCCGTGAGGGTCCGACCCTTCAACTCGAGAGAGATTGGGAAGGACAGCAAGTGCATCATTCAGATGTCAGGAAACACCACAAGTGAGTATATACTCAAGTCAGTTTTAATGTACCTAGTTAAAAGTTATATTAAATCCGATGGATGTGGACTTTATTGTTTACAGGGTGATCAAGACACATGTTTTAATTAGTAATTGGAATAAATTAATCAAAGGTCTATCAGTAACTTTCCAACATTATGCTTTGATATTCACCCTGCTTTGGTTAAGCCATATTTTACTGTGAATTTGTTGGCTTATTGTTACGTCCCTTGGATGTTTGAGCTTCACTGTGCAGAATGATGTACATGTTTGTTTTACTTTGGAAGCTTATGTTCACATTAATCTGCGGCAGGGGGGAATATTTCTCTTTGAACATGAATTTGTGGTCTTTAAAATCACAAAACATTAAGGTTGAAGTGGAAGACGACAATTATCATTTTCCAGAGCTTTCCAGAGTTTACTTCTTCTGCCTTCTTGTCAGATTAAAAGGACAAAAACACAAAGATATTCAACTTACTTTATTATAAAGCAAGGAAAAACAGCAAAGCCTCACATTTAAGAAGATGAAAGCAGCAAATATTTAATATTTGTGATTGAAAAATCTTTGGTCGTGGTAAACATTTTTAAGATATAAAGACATTAAAAGTATACTTGAAGAAAAAATAATGGGGGATATAAGACTTAAGGACAAAACATGATTTGTGGGCTGAAAACAACACATAGACATAACCCCTCTATATCACATAACACTACAAATAATGGGTCGTAAAAGAAAATATTGATTTATACATTTGGATGATTGCATCAAGAAATATTATATGTAGGTGTGATTTACCGTTAATATATACTGTGAATAATCCTTAATGACATGCCTTTAGAGTGTGAAACCCAGCAATGCAGGACGTATTGCTGCTCTTTGAAACCAACTCTTACGGCCTGCATTGAGGCACATTTAGCATTTGAGCTCAGTTATTTGTCTGGTAGGCAGTTTTGTCGTTCAGCAACAAGGGAGTAGGCATGGAGGCATGCAGCATCATGGCAGCCAGAGAGAGAGACAAAAGATTCAGTCAGGCCTGAGGCCAGCCAGTGTGTGTTTGTGTGTATGTTTGTGTGTGTGTGTGTGTGTGTGTGTGTGTGTGTGTGTGTGTGTGTGTGTGTGTGTGTGTGTGTGTGTGTGTGTGGTGTGTGTGTGTGTGTGTGTGTGTGTGTGTGTGTGTGTGTGTGTGTGTGTGTGTGTGTGTGTGTGTGTGTGTGTGTGTGTGTGTGTGTGTGTGTGTGTGTCTGTGTGTAGGATGTAGGGACCGTCGCAGCTCTGCTCTCACCATACGAGCTGCACAGACCAAAAAGACCTCCTTGTTCTGGTCGAGCCCAGACCCAGGGTCAGCTGCCTCTGTATCTTGGTCACAGTTGCTCAAAAACCCTCCGAAAGATAATCGGGTGTAGCCGATGGTTGGAGGTCTCTCTGTGTTGTTTCTGTCTGAGTGCATGAAACAACAGGATGTGTTTGTGCAGCTATGATAAGATGTGCCCACAGGGGGCGTTTGCTCCTGCTCAGTTCTTGTTTCATATTCTGGGTGCATTTCCCATCACCTCTATTAAAAAAGGATGAACAGTGCATTTACAACGCTGCTTTTGATACCAACTGTAATAAGACCTCTCTGAACTTTGGGGAAATGTTTACAAATGACGTCATCTCCTTTTGTTTATGATCTCAATATCATGATATGTGACTTTATTTTATCTTAGATTTTGGATCTCGTATATGGTATAGATGTATATTTTCCTAGGTTTTAGAGTTTGCTAGACTGTCTTTGCTAGTCTACAATTTACCTTTACCCTCTTGGTAATTGTATCCACAATAATTACAACAATCTAATCGTATAAATATTTTTGACAAATCACCAATGGTCAACTTTACAATATTGTTAGTGAGGGATTTGGTAAAAATGAAAGTGATTAAGATTTTCTCCATATCAACCTGCCCTATTTTGAAGCATATTTTGCTGTTATTTAGTGGTGGAAAGAATGGAGGTAACAGGGATCAAGGGGGAAGATATCGGGGAAAATTATGCAACCAGCATCCTACTGTGGTTGGCTGGGAGAGAATGAATGTGTTTTATCAAAAGATGTATATGGTTGGCGTTTTGATGTTTTCACAGTTTGTGTCGTGCATTTTTTAAACCGACAGTAAATAAACTGTAATGAATTTGCAGCTAATAAGAGGGACCCATTTTCTGATGCCTCTTTTTGCTCTGTTTTAGCGATCCTGAACCCCAAACAGCCCAAAGAAAACAAGAGTTTCAACTTTGATTATTCTTACTGGTCCCACACCACGGTGAGTTTCACTGCGACACCTATTTTTAACTAAAAGTACAGATAAGAACATTCAAGATCTGCTAGAACAAGCCACTAGTAATTGATATTCAATATTGATCTACATTTCCATATTATGCCACCTCATGGTGGTAGAAATGTGTCGATGTCTATTATAGAGCTTATTCATGCTCGGAGAAATTCTAACTCGTCTATTTCATTTTTTCCACAGCCTGAGGACACCAGCTTTGCGTCCCAGCTGCAGGTGTACAAAGACATCGGAGAGGAGATGCTGCTTCATGCCTTTGAAGGCTACAATGTGTGCATATTTGCATACGGCCAGACAGGATCGGGAAAAAGCTACACCATGATGGGACGACAGGAGCAGGACCAGGAAGGAATCATTCCTCTGGTAATACAGAGTGCAGCGCTGACCAAATATTATTATATTACACAAATCAAATTCCCTTTAATCATTGTGAATGAAATAAAGATAAGAAGCTTTAGAACACCATTGACACTCTGTTTTGTTTCAGATGTGTGAGGACCTTTTCACCAAGTTCAATGACACCAATAACGACAACAGCATGTCTTACTCTGTCGAGGTGAGTCAATTCATACCATCATTTACTTTATGTTTTCCAACTTTGGAAGCTATTCTACTCCGAGTGCCTCATATATAACCCCTACCCCTCATCCATTGAGTTTTCAAGTGGCATTATTGTTGCTCTCGTTGTTACAAAGACATCTGGATCGCTTTCAGTTTTTATTAGATCCTGCTACTAGCTCACATTTAGAGAACTATTCAAAGATTGCAGAGGGGTAGCTGATATTGTAATTATATTAATTAATCATTTGTGAAACAGATTGACTCGAGTTTTAATCTTTTATTGTCCCAGGAGCAACCAGTACAAATGATAACCGATTAATAACTCAGAAAAACGTTTAACAAGATCACCAACCCTGTGCATCCTCCAGGTGAGTTACATGGAGATCTACTGCGAGCGTGTGCGTGACTTGCTGAACCCAAAGAACAAAGGAAACCTGCGCGTCAGAGAGCACCCTCTCATGGGACCCTACGTGGAAGATCTCTCCAAACTAGCCGTCACCTCATACAACGACATCCAGGACCTGATGGAGTCTGGAAACAAGGCCAGGTAACAGAGCGAGACTGAATGACTCCGCAGATTATACGGTGTTATTATGAAGAGATGTAGATAAGGGGTGAATAAATTAATCAGTCGCTGGAACCATTGATGGATGGAGCAGATCATTTATCAGTGATATGTACTTAACATAGAATTAATTCATTTTTTCAGGACTGTGGCTGCTACCAACATGAACGAGACCAGCAGCCGCTCCCACGCCGTCTTCAACATCATCTTCACGCAGAAGAAACACGACATGGATTCAGAGAACACGTCAGAAAAGGTACTTATAACCAGCTCCTAACAAATAATCTGCACGTCTGAAATGATGTTGTTCTGCTCCTCAGACAAACAAATCAATAAGAGGAATAGTCCTATTCACCACAGCAGCCTTAGAGATGCTAAACCATTTTTTTATTGCCTTTTATGACCTGAGCTGAGGCCGTCTGCGTTTTTATTATTATCAAATGTATTGTTTGATAACCACATGTAACACTTTACTGCCAGTTCCCCCACTGCAGTTTCAGGAAAATATGCTAGCAAAGGTAGATGTTTGATCTTTTTATACAAAGCATCTTATTTTGAAAATGTTTTGTATCATCACAGGTCAGCAAGATCAGCCTGGTGGACCTGGCTGGCAGCGAGAGAGCCGACTCCACCGGAGCCAAAGGGACCAGACTGAAGGTGAGAGGAGGAAGATGTTTTTTAGAGAGATAAATAAATGTATGAATAGATGGGCAGTTCTTTATAAGACTCCCTTTTATTTGCAGGAAGGAGCAAACATCAACAAATCTCTGACTACACTGGGAAAGGTTATTTCTGCCCTGTCTGAAGTGGTATGTTTTTTCACACTTCATCAAATAATTATATTTAGAAACTTTTAATTTATCGTGTCAAACTAACACATGTTGGCATTTATTTTTCAACTACCAGGACTCCGTACCAAACAAGGTCAGTATGCAATATTTAATGCAAATGAAATCATTATTTTTATAAAATACTTTTAACAATAATGCTTTCCGATAAGAGAATAATTTGTGTTGGTTTTGTGTGCAGAACAAGAAAAAGAAGAAGGTGGAGAATCACATCCCCTACAGAGATTCAGTTCTGACTTGGCTGCTGAGGGAGAACTTGGGTATGCACACATACTACTAATGCAAAATCTGATATAAAATATAATCATAAACCTTAGCTTTTACCAATAAAAACAAATGTTCTGTGTCAGTTTATGTATCGTCTCACTTTCTGTGTTACAGGTGGAAACTCTCGTACTGCCATGGTGGCGGCCCTCAGCCCCGCTGATATCAACTATGATGAGACCCTCAGTACCCTCCGGTGAGAAACATGTCAACAATCTGTTTCTTTCTTAATGTTCAACCTGCAGAAGAGATGTACTGATTAGACTTTTAACACCTTTACAAATGCATTCTGTTATTTGCACACAATGATTAACAAATGCTTTTCCCCTCAGCTGTACCGTCACAGCCATTAGTTGGTCATTGTAATGCAGTATAGAGAGTCTAAGGAATCATGCTTTATAGCTTAATGTCCGTTTGACCTAAAAGACCTTTGTCCTTCCAGGTACGCTGATCGTGCTAAACAGATCCGCTGTAACGCTGTGATCAACGAGGACCCCAGCAACCGTCTGGTGCGTGAGCTGAAGGAGGAAGTGGCCCGCCTCAGAGACCTGCTGATGGCTCAGGGTCTGGGAGATATCATAGAGAGTGAGTGTCGCACCCAGAAACACAATGCTCTATCTCAGAAATGCTCTTACAAAGGCATACACAAACATACACTTTCTGACTGTACATGCAAGACAGAAGATGACAGTTTAACTTGGAGTGAGGGTGTCTCTCACACCCATTCTCTTCTCTCCTATCAGCGTATCGCTGCACCGGCCCCGTCATCGCTGGTTTGAAATGTGTGTATAACTCGAGCAAGCCTGCGCTTTGCCACTAAAATAAATGAATCCCGAGCTGGCCTTCCTCCTCCAGCACACCAGAGATCTGAATATAAGTCCCAAGAAACTAAGTCAGATAGGAGAGCCAGCACTTAAGTAGCATACAGCATTTAGAGCTGTAGTTTCTCTTTTCTAACAAATTCTGCAAAATGGCCTCCTTTTTTCCCCCATTAGATCTGGTTTCCATAGAAATATGCACTTTTCTTCCCTTACTTAATCTAGGAAGTCCAGCCTCCAAATAAATGAATCCTCATTACAAATGTTAAATTTGCTGGGATTTTCTTTTTCACTGAGAAGCTTTGATCCTGTAGCTGTTCATTTCGAACGTGAGCTGCCCGACACTCTGCTTTCCTGGTTCTGCAGAAACAGACAGCCGTAGTCAGCTTCTGCATAAAGCATGCTTTGTTATGCATTTTGTTTTGCAAGACATGGAAGAGAGCACTGATTTAGAGGATGCCATTTTAGATTGCTGGGGCACTCTTTATTTGCATCCTGGTTCTCTCTCTATGTGTGGAGCTAATTGAAGCTACGACTCAGGTGCTTGGAGGCCTGCATCCCCGGCAGCTGTGCAACCAAAGGCTGCGCTTTAAAAAACACTTGAAAACATGAAGACATGCAACACTAGTAATCTCTAGCCTGTATTTTGTCTTAATGCACTCTATTTATTACTCATTCTCATGCTTGCAGGCTTGTCGAATGTGTCTACATGTATTTCAGTGTCGGAGATAAAGCTCTAACTCTCTTCTCAGCATTTTGTGCTCTGTCAGTTTGAGTTTCCCTTTTCTCTCATTCTGCGATGGCTTTGGTAAAGATTTGACTGCTTTGATCCATTATTTGAGCTTTCTCTTCTTCTTTTGTACTCCTCCCTGTTGCCCCTACCTTTTTCCTTTTTATCCGTTTCTCTGCGTGTTCCTCTCATTCCTGATGTCTCTCTTTAATTACCTGGCGTCTGCTCCGTCCTTCCGTCCTTCTGTCCTTCCGTTTTTCCTTCCTCCTTATCTTCCTTGCTCACTCCCATGCAACGCCTCTCTTTCTGACAGACCTGAGCGATTACAAGAACTTTGTGAATAATCGCCAGGCTGTCAATCAAAGGGGTGATCTCTCCGCAGTGTCCACTGTCATGACAGGAATGAGTCCCTCCCCCTCGCTCTCGGTCCTGTCCAGTCGCGTCGGATCCATCACCAACATCCATGACCGCATCTTCAGCCCGGCCAGCGAAGAGGCCATCGAGAGGCTCAAGGTAAGAACCATGATGGTGATATTGTTCAGGATGTGGAGAGTTAGATAATGACTTGTGGACTGACACAAGCAGAGCCGGAATGATTTAATTACAGGGAAAGGCACAGAAATCTGCTGGAAAGTAAGAGTAAGTACATTTATTATGTGTATAAATGTATAAATGTTGCCAACAGGAAACTGAGAAAATCATTGCAGAGCTCAATGAGACATGGGAAGAGAAGCTGCGTCGTACTGAGGCCATCCGTATGGAGAGGTTGGTCACACATATTCACGCCTGATTCATGGTTTCATGAATAAATCTACAATTTATTTAAACTAAACTAAATGTTCGTATTGATTGTTTTCTCCTCAAGTTGAGTTGAGGTCTGTTGTATATGCCCATGGCTTTTGGACCACTCCTGACACATTTCCTTTGTTTTCATGATCGTATGCAGCCCTGTATGTGTACAAATAATATATATTTGTAATATTATAATTTTTATATGGACCATTTTTGATGGTTTGACCCTTGAGATTTATTTTTGACATAATGTCTTAAAGGATACATTCAGTTCTGGATTGCCAGCCAAGTGTTAATACAAACAACATATTTGTAGCCATGTTAGCATCATGTGTGTTTGCTTCCTGCAGAGAGGCCCTGCTGGCTGAGATGGGTGTTGCCATGAGAGAAGATGGAGGCACTCTGGGAGTCTTCTCACCGAAAAAGGTAAGATGACCCTTCCTTTTGCTAAATAATTTCATATATTTACAACATCTTTCCACAGACTTAACACGTTTGTCATTATTTCCTGTTTAGACGCCTCACCTGGTCAACCTGAATGAAGACCCTCTGATGTCAGAGTGTCTGCTGTACTACATCAAAGACGGCCTCACAAAGTAATTTTTAAAATGTTTTTCAGTTTCTGAAATGTACTCAAGATATTTTGGTGCTGCTGTGAATATGTCTCTAATGGATCATCTTCCCTCAGGGTTGGCCGTGAAAATGCCAAGACTCGTCAGGACATTGTTCTCAGCGGACATTTCATCCAAGACGAACACTGCACCTTCACCAGCACCACGGTGCCTCTGGGGGAAGGTAGACCTGCTGCTTTCTCCTGCAAATAACAGTTTAATAAAAGTTGTTGCATTAAAAACAATATTAAAAATGAAAAATACTTATTGTGCATGGGTTTAAGACTTTGTTGTTAAAGTTATACAATGTCCTTTGACAGGCTGCGTCATCATGGAGCCGTGTGAGGGCTCAGAGACGTACGTCAACGGGAAGAGAGTGAGCTCCCCCACCGTCCTGCGGTCTGGTACGAGTGAAGCTTCATATTATTTTGGTTGAAAAAAAAGGTGTAAATCCAAATTAAGAGAAGAGGGAAAGATAGAACTCTGTGTTACATCACAATGGCCAAAGTAAGATCACTTTCTACGATTGTGACTATTCCAAGTTTCAGTGAACATTATACTGCAGTGAAGGATCAATAATGTATATAATACTTACTGTTTATTGTTATTATATAATGTCTATTCGTAGAACCAAATGTATTGCTGTGGCTTATTTGCTCCTTTAGCCAATTGAGAATCTTTTAACTTGGCTTTTCTTAAGTATATACTGTATGGTATTATCATTAATCATGAATCTATTAATAATTATACTGTGTTGTACGGGGAATTGTCATTTTACATTACTGTTTATTTTGAAATGGAAGCAATGAGTTTGGTGTGTATAATTGGGTTAGGTCTTGAATTGAATTAAGAGTGGTTTTCAAAGTATCTTAAAAGTTTTAAATAACTTGTGATCATACACACTTTTTAGGCAACCGCATCATCATGGGAAAGAGCCACGTGTTCCGCTTCAACGACCCGGAGCAGGCTCGTCTGGAGCGAGAGAGGACGCCGTGCGCCGAGACCCCCGTGGAGCCCGTGGACTGGGCCTTCGCTCAGAGAGAGCTGCTGGAGAAACAAGGCATCGACATGAAGCAGGAGATGGAGCAGAGGTGGGTGGAGAACACATCATTTTATTGTATTTATTTCCATTTAGTCACAATGACTTTTCTGACATATAGTTCTGAATCCCTTCAGGCTTCAGGAGCTCGAGGACCAGTATCGCAAAGAGAGAGAAGAAGCCAGCAACCTGTTGGAGCAGCAGAGGCTGGTGAGTGCTCAGTCATACGGAAACACTTCAAATGTGTGTGTAAAGAAAACAACTGAATCCTATGTTTTCTTTCAGGACTATGAGAGTAAACTAGAGGCTCTTCAGAAACAAGTTGACTCCCGCTACCTGGAGTCTCCTGAGGAAGAAGAGGAGCCTGAAGAGGAAGGTGGTACTGTCACTTTTTTAAACTGATTTAGGTTTCTTTTGGTCAAAAATGTACTTACAAATCATTTGACCCTCCCCTTCAGTGCCGTGGATGCCCCGTGAGACGGAGTTGGCTCTGTGGGCTTTCAGGAAGTGGCGTTTCTACCAGTTCACCTCTCTCAGGGATCTGCTGTGGGGCAACGCCATCTTCCTCAAAGAGGCCAATGCTATCAGCGTGGAGCTGAAGAAAAAGGTGGGGTGTTTTTTACTGTAAAACATTGTCCTTTTTTTTGTTGCACTGTGACATATTTTCATTTCATTTTCATAAGTTATGATTATTTGTTTTGTTTTAACTAAACATAAGACAGCTTTTTCTAAATCTACTTCCAGTGGCAATGCAATAAAAGCTTAGTGTTGTCTCTTTAAAATAATAACATCCTTATTGCAAATGTGTTATCTATTTGATATTGTGATACTGGTGTATGAAGGAAGAGCTTGCTCCTCAATCCAAAATGGATGCAGACTGCAAATTAATAAATGTTTGTCAGTGCCCAATCTCCACAATGATGTACACACTGCTACATATTGCATGTCAGTTCTGTCAAGTAACCCATTTAATAAAAGGTGTCGTGTATGATAAAGCTTATTTGGGCAAAAAAAAAACGTACTGCATCGTGACTCACCCAGTTTTGGAAATGAATACACAGAATATTGACTCTTACTAGAATAATGTATAATGCAGCTATTCTGCATGAGAAGTAGTATATGACTTTACTTGTAGACATATTTGATAAAGACAAATGCTACCTTATCAGTCTTCTTCTTTGTTGGGGTGAAAGAAGATTTTAGATGTTTTTCTTTGCGTGTGAAATGGCATAACGTTTTTTATAGCCGCATTTGTTTACATTTCCATGTCTCTGATGCTTAAAGGATGTTTTAAAAGCAGGGAAATCCTGATGTGACGTTGCATATACGATGCAGGAGGATTCAAACCAGCAATCACTAATGTTTTTATGGCTCTTGTCGTCCACAGGTGCAGTTCCAGTTCGTCCTGTTGACAGACACTCTCTACTCTCCTCTGCCGCCCGACCTACTGCCCGCCAGCGTGGCCAAAGAGAGAGAGAAGCGACCTTTCCCCCGAACCATCGTCGCCGTTGAAGTCCAAGATCAGAAGAACGGAGCGACACATTACTGGACTCTGGAGAAACTCAGGTACAGTGTCATCTAATAATAAAAAGCTGATGCCTCGGTATAGGTCGATTTAATTACACATACAATTATTAAAATGTTGAAGGTCACATTCCTTTCATCTGATAAGAAATATATAAATATAAAATGATATATTATTCACAATAACAAAAAAAAATGATATTTTTCTATATAAACTTTAAAATAACCACAATAATGATATCATCATATGTGCACACAGTAAACTGAAGATAGGGAGGCCATTATTAAGGGTTTTTCCTCTCTTCTCACGCTGCCTCCTGCAGGCAGAGGCTGGACCTGATGAGGGAGATGTACGACCGAGCGGCAGAGCTCCCCAGCAGCGCTGTGGAGGACTGTGACCAGGCTCTGACCGGAGGAGACCCCTTCTACGACCGCTTCCCCTGGTTCCGTCTGGTGGGCAGGTGCGTCACCTCCTCAATCCTGGAGGCAGTATTGAGTTAAAACCCTGCTTTTTCTTTTATTTCACTATAAATGCTTGTTACAAACTGACATCCCCTCATCACTTCCTGCCTCCTCCTCAGGGCTTTTGTGTATCTGAGCAACCTGCTGTACCCCGTGCCCCTCGTGCACCGCGTGGCCATCGTCAGTGAGAAAGGAGAAGTGAAAGGCTTCCTCAGAGTGGCTGTGCAGGCAATCTCAGGTACGAATACAGGTGGAATATCAGACTTACTCTTGGACATGCCTTTTAGTTTGTTTTAAAATACTGTTTGTTTATATCTCTCTGTTTTGTCTCCTTTTAGCTGATGAGGAGGCCCCTGATTACGGCTCTGGTGTGAGGCAGTCAGGCACTGCTAAGATCTCCTTTGAAGATAAACAGTTTGAGAAGGTACCAGCATGCAGTGATTTGTTCTGGTTCTCTGAATCCTACTTATACAACCAATACAAGTCAAAAGAATAAACACAGTATATGTGTGGCGTAAGTAAGATTCATGCTGATGTTTTTCTGTTTTGGTCCAGTTCCAGACCGAGTCGTGTCCCGGTGTTCTCTCTCACTCCAACACCTCGCAGGAGGAGCTGCGCTTTGTGGAGGGAGAAGGAGCGAGCGCAGACATAGGGATCTCTGCAGATGAAGTCAACAACAACACTGGTGAGAGGAAAAACCTTTACAGGCACTGAAAATCATTCCAGCCACTGTCTACATTAACAGTCTAAATTAAAACAACAATTGTAAGCTCGTCAGTTCTATAATAAAGTCAAAAGCAAAAATATATAAAGAATTTAAAGTAACCCATCTGTGACTCTTTCTCTGTTTCTCGTAGAAATCATAGAGACTCCCAGCAGCCCGGAGAAGAGTGCAGGTCTGGGTCTGGATCTCGCTCTCGACCTCTCCCCAGAGAAAGTTCTGTCCCACCTGAAGATCGGCAGCACCTTCACCTTCAGAGTCACCGTCCTGCAGGCCTCCAGCATCTCGGCCGAGTACGCCGACATCTTCTGCCAATTCAAGTGAGTTTCAAGCATGCCTCCTCCACTTAGGTGCTGGAAATAAAATGATTTATCTGCTTCACATTTTTTATAGAATGCATATGTCTTTGTCAGAAATCTATTTCTCTTCTAGGGAAGCAAAATGCAATATAAATCTGAAACCAATATTTAAATATCTGTACAATTAAATAGTTATTTCAGTTGGACTTTCTGCTATTAAATAATAATAATGCATGCACATCTGTTAAGTGTTATAGAAAAACATAATATCAAATTATTTCGTTTTTTGCAGAAAGATTATGCAAAAATATAACTCAATGCTTAATGTGTCCTGACTGCTGGAAACAATTGACTAACTACGTTTTATTATTTACAGTAATATGAATGTTCACTTATTGTTAATGTATGTGGCTTGTGGCTTTAAACAAAGTGATCAGCATGTGTGGTGGTCAGCTGGGTGCTTTCGGTCAGCATAATGTGCAGGAAGAGCAAAGGGAGGTCAGTCTAATAAAATGGCTTCCCTTTTTTCTAGCTTCATCCACCGCCACGATGAAGCTTTCTCCACCGAGCCGCTGAAGAACACGGGCAGAGGACCTCCGCTGGGCTTCTACCATGTTCAAAATGTAAACATTCAGAGCTATTATTAACAAATATCACTAGATACAAACAACTGTGTTAGGGCTGTGCTTAAGATGTCATTTCCCTCTTCCCTGGTAGATCACAGTGGAGGTGACCAAGTCCTTTGTGGAGTACATCAAGACTCAGCCCATCGTCTTCGAGGTGTTCGGTCACTATCAGAAACAGCCCTTCCCTCCGCTCTGCAAAGACCTCATCAGGTAAGAAGACATTTGACCTTTAATTTCCACCAGCTGATATTTTAGAAAGTTTCCTAGTATTCAGTTTCTTTGTCCTTTTTTTTGTTTTTAGTCCTCTGAGACCGTCCAGGAGGCAGTTCCCCAGGGTGATGCCCTTATCCAAACCAGGTAAGCAGTGACATTCAATGTGCCTGAGAGTAGATCAAACGTTTTTATATTTCATGATTTAATCTCCACAATATGATCAGTGTCTCAGCCTCCAGTTTAATATTATATACCCTTGATTTCGGACCGTACAGACAGGTTGACCCAGTTTCACACATGAATCTGTTTCCTCTTACTTCCTCCAGTGCCGGCCACAAAGCTCAGCACTCTGATGCGCTCCACCGCCGGACCTTGTCACGCCAAATACGACCTGATGTCATTCTTTGAGATATGTGAGCTGGAAGCTAACGGAGAGTGAGTTTTGACTTTATTGCTGTGTGTCCCGATATACAAATATAAAGCAAAGAACACAGTAGCTCATACTCTTTGCCAGTGGCGAACCGTGTCTATCACAACTGGACCTTCTGTAGACACACACCCCCCCCGCCGCCGCCCCTCCCCCCCCTCCGCGGCATTATAATGTCCGTCTTTTCACTGAATTGTCGTCTTGAAAAGGGTACTCACAACAATAATGCAACAACTTCATCTTCACTTGTTGCACTTGTCATTTCAACGTTAAAAACAATAAAACGGCATGAATTGCTTCGTCGCATTCTCGAGCCAGTTAACTAGCGGGCCTTCTACAATACCCTGGAACCGAGGGAAACTCTGAAAGAACACGCCCATTGGCTACAAATCAATATATGATTGGTTGATCAAACTGTCAATCCAAACGTATTCTCTCATTCAGTGCAACGGCCAGGGCATTCTATCAAGGATGTAGAATACCTTGGTTAAAGGATATTCTACCCAGAGACCCAGAACAAGATCTGATTGGTTGCTTTCTTTTCTAACACAAAACCACTGAAATGCGTAGTGCATGGCCGGAGAAGGAGAAACAAATCAACGTAACACTGTAATATTACAGATCAACAACACAGATACCATTCTCATTTATTTATTTTATTACATTTTATATACATTTTATTTATATAATTAAATCGATTTTTTGTTTGTTTTATCTGAGTGTTCCAGGGTATTCTCTGAATACCTTGAAGGCCCTGACGGTTCGCCACTGCTCTTTGCACATATGATAACAACAATTCTTTTGCAGCAGCGATGAAAATATTCTGCGTTATTATTTTGAGTATTTATTGTGTTAATTATCTCCCTTTTTTATAGCTACATCCCAGCTGTTGTTGACCACAGGAGTGGGATGCCCTGCCACGGCACTTACCTTTTACATCAGGTCTGACCCACCAATTACATACCTTTATATTAATCGTTTAATATCATCAGATGATATATAGCTTAGAATACAATATTTTCAGATTTGTTCTTATGTCTGTATTTATTACAATAAAAAAGTTAATAAAACCAGTGAAAAAAAAAAAAAAAACATAAACAAGAATCATCAAACCTAATCCACTCAACTCTTTGAATCCTGTCTTCAGGGCATCCAGAGGAGGATCACAGTCACCATCGCTCATGAGACAGGAAATGACATTGAGTGGAAAGAGGTGAAGGAGCTGGTTATTGGTGAGTAAAAACAACAATTCAAAAACATATTTGGCCCATATGGTTAGATTTGAAAAAAAAACTGTTTTTTTTTTCTTACTGTTTTGTTTGACTTCAGGTCGTATTCGAAACACACCCGAGGCAGATGAAACCATCATAGACCCCAACATCCTGTCCCTCAACATCCTGTCTTCTGGATATTTCTGGCCCAAACACAGTGACAAGTATACACATCAGACACATTTCTGATTTACTTACTATCTTTCTGTGTATTTGATATTCAACAAAAGTTTCCTCTTTGAATTTGTTACCAAACCTAAAACCTATATTTTTCCCATTGCTTCAACGTGCCTTTTATAATGAAATATGATTTGGCCTTAATGCTTTTTTTTATTTTGCATGGATCAGTATGGTTTGCTGGTTTCAAACTTTTAACAGCTGCAGTTAAAAGTTTCTAACTCGTTTCCTGTTTCTCTTTATCCTTTGCTAACGCCAGCGTCTCCTTGGGAGTTGATCATAGGTATAAATGACATTCATTTTTGTCTTTATCTATTATTATTTACAAAATAACATTATTAGCTCACAGGCTTGTAATAAGGTTAACTCATCTGCTCAATGTTGTGCGTATAGATGACTGTTTGTTTTTGCTGCAGAACTTTCTACCGATTTGAGGCGGCATGGGACAGCTCCATGCACAACTCTCTGCTCCTGAACAGAGTCACTCCCTACGGGGAGAAAATCTACATCACCCTCTCTGCTTATCTAGAGGTACTCAATGACATTTGATTTACAGAATGTGTTTCTTTGTATTTCTTTGTAGAATAAAGTGATAGAAAGAAATATAAATGATGTCATTGTGTAACCAACTCACCTGGATTCTGATTTGTTGCTGTCCATCTATATTTGAACTAGATGGAGAACTGCACTCAGCCGACAGTGATCACCAAAGATTTCTGTATGGTGTTTTATTCCCGTGACGCCAAGCTGCCAGCCTCTCGCTCCATCAGAAACCTCTTCAGCACCGGCTGCCTCAGGCCCTCTGAGAGGTACACATTTATGGATTAGATACAAACTGGATCTTGTACTGATTCTAAATTCTATAAATGCTCAATCTAAAAAATGTGTTATATATAATTATATACAATTTCTTTCTTTCCCAGTAACCGTGTCACTGGAGTGTATGAAGTCACCCTCTGCCATGTGGCGGACAATGGAAGTCCAGGTAAAACAAAATCAAACAACAAAATGGTTTCTATTGAGCTAGTCTTTTTATTTGTATTTGAAATACTCACAGAGCATCTTCTTCTTCAGGGATGCAGCGTCGTCGCAGGCGTGTGCTGGACACCTCGGTGGCGTACGTCAGAGGAGAGGAGAACCTGGCAGGGTGGAGGCCTCGCAGCGACAGCCTCATCCTGGACCACCAGTGGGAGCTGGAGAAACTCAGCTTACTGCAGGAGGTCAGTCTTTAAAACTGAGAGGTTTGTTAGTGAGAAGTGAGATGACTTCTAGATCATTTAAATGAGAAAAGTATTTTTACTTGACCGATGACCCTGCAGATGCAAGGCTTGAATCATATGCAGTACACTAAAGAGAGATAAAGAGAAAAGAAACGTGCTGTTAGTGCATTTATTTAGTCTCAGCAAAGGAAAGCATATATAGATCCTTTTCTGTACGACCCACAGAAGACCTACCCCATTAAAGTGTATCTGGCAGTGGCTCAGTCAGTCGGGGCTTGGACTGGGAATCGTAGGGTTGCCAGTTCAAATCCCCCGACTTGATGAAAATGGTGCCCTTGAGCGAGGCACTGGACACCCCAGTGACACAAATATAGAGGGTCTCATCCTCCAATTCTAATTCTTATGTGCTTGTGTTTTCAGGTGGAGAAGACCAGGCACTACCTGCTGCTGAGGGAGAAGCTGGAGGCGACCCTGCTGGCCGGGCAGGATGCGCTCTTCAAGAACAGTGACATCTGTGATTTTGCTAAAAGTCCCGTCTACAGCCACAGCCCCGGCAGCAGCCCGGCCCTCGACAGTCCCAACCAGAGGCAGAGGGAGCTGGCTGCCAAGGTGACTGATGCTCCCTGAGATGTTTTTTTTACCTGTTTGTATCAGCTTTTATTCAACATCATCTGTTCTGTCTCGTATCTTCTCTCCAGTGTCTGCGTCTGCTGATGCACACCTTCAACAGGGAGTACAGCAAGGTGAGCAGCAGTGCCAGTGAGAGCAAGGTGAGCCCCAGCCTAGGCCCTCTAACCCGGCCCGTTAACCCTTTCCAACCTTTAGCGACTACCTCCACAAAATACTCAAGCCCCACACTCCACCCTCTCTCTGCCTTTTTTCAACACATAATCCTGTCTTTTTTGCATTTCACTCTTTTTTTCCCATTAACATTATGTCTGAATAGAGTGCTACAGGGGCGACCTATTTTGAGGATTTGCCTGTTGGATTTTGGATGATTGCAGAAAAATTAGCTCTTAAGCAAAAATAAGTTTCTGCCAAAATTCACAAGTGAGGCTTATTTACTGGTGTATTTTATGTTGTATAAGAAAACATAAATATCTCCTAATATAGTGTTAAACACGGTCTTATCTTTCAGTAGTGTTAATTTCGTTGACTAAAACTATGACGAAATATGTTCGTCAACGACCTTTTTTCCATGACTAAAACGAGACGATGACGAGACGCTACCGACGGCAGTAAACAATAACTGTAACGAAATCATCAGCCTCACGAAAAGTGACGAGACGAAAATGTAGTTTACGAAATAAAAACTATGCCAAAATCTCTCTTTACTTTCGTTGACCAAAAATGAGGAGACGAGTTGTGTACAGACTCGACGGGTAATAATGGATTATGACGGAAATGTTACGATCCTGTCCGGCAAAATGACTGACAACGAAAAAGTCTAACGACACCACTGCCTGGGAGAAAGAAACAATGTGATATTTGGGCCCATTTTCGCTACAATGAGGCGGAGAAAAAAATGGAATGCATTGTTATATCAGAGAGGAAGCAATGTGGCCATAACACAGCTGGTAAAAACACCACAAACTGACCTGATACTCTCTGCAAAGCTTCTTCATCATTCAACCTGTGTTTTTTATAAAATAAGGACACTATAATATAATCTTATTGTGAAATAAGTTTGACTAAAATGAGAAATTACTGGTTTTGGCTAGACTAGTTTGACTGAAATGTTCTATATAATCTGATGACTAAAAAAGACTCAACCGTTTTCATTGACAAAAAGTAGACTAAAATAATTAGTTTTCTTTGACTAAAATAAGACTAAAATGCTCAGACTTTTAGTCGACTAAAACTTGACTAAATAAAAACAGGATGAAGGTGACTAAATATGACTAAAACTAAAAAGGAAATTTAACACAGGACTAAGACTAAAACTAAATAAAAAAATAGCTGACGAAATGAACACAATCTTTCGGGCATCGAACCTAAACCTGTTAGAAAAACATTAGAGATGAGGTAACCTGAAATACTAAAATGCTAACTCATTCCTGCAGCACTCTAAAACCACTCAGTAGGCTGGGGTTTAAAATGATTCACTAATAATTCTTTGAATTTGAGCTTAATCAATCATATGACACCTTTTAGTTTAAAATAATAATGACCCAGGTCTACTGCTCATCTCTTTATTCCCAAATTAATGTTTCCATATTTCACGCCTTAAAATATTTGAGGTTTCCTTCCCCCACCTCCTTTTATCCTGGCCTCCTCCCTCACTGTCCCCCCCTCTTTAGACCCTGCAGGGCTTCCACTAACCCAATATTACTCCTGCATGTCCTACTAAACATGTTAACCAGCGAGGGGCTCTTAGATAATGAGGATTTAAAATGGTGCAGAGGTATTTCTACTGTACATCGCTAGAAAATGTCCTGATTGTATTGTTCTCTGAATGCATGTCTGTGTTGTCCGTGCTTAATTGTTTTCGGGTATGTTTTGTCTGTACTTGTGTGTGTCCTTCTTGTCGTGTGTGTGTGTGTGTGTGTGTGTGTGTGTGTGTGTGTGTGTGTGTGTGTGTGTGTGTGTGTGTGTGTGTGTGTGTGTGTGTGTGTGTGTGTGTGTGTGTGTGTGTGTGTGTGTGTGTGTGTGTGTGTGTGTGTGCTTGTGCTTCTCAATGCATGCTTTGTTGTGAATGTGTTTCTGTGTGTGTGTGTTCTTTAGCTTTCTGAGATGTCTGCGTCGCTGATGAGAGACTCCTGCTCGTCTGGACTGAGCACGCTCACTCCGTCCTCCACCTGCCCCTCACTGGTCGAGGGGAATTACGACATTAGGTACAAACCAGATGCAGCTACTCTGCTCATTATCAGTAACAAGCAGCTTATCTCCTCTGTGCATGAGAAATGTTGTGTTTAATCTTCAAACACATTTAGTATCAGCCAAAACCAGGCAATAACAGATATTTTGCAAAAGTATTTTTATTTGATCAAGTAAAATAGCAATAACACAATGTAGAAATACTCTTGATGTCCTGGTCTAGCGTCTTGCATTCTAAGTCTTACTCTAGTAAAAGTAGAACAGCATGATCAGCAGATACACTTGTTGAAAGTCCTTAATAAGCAGAACCCTTCCTTTCAGGCTGTTCTTTTATTATGTATAATTATTAAGTCAACATTTCATATTGGAAAATAATTGCTGATGCAGTAACATGTAAGCAGTATTTCAATGTAGAAAGCAGGTCAGTATGGGGAGACGATTGTCACTACTTTTAAAGCAAAACATCTGTTGAGTTTAGTGGAGTAAAAAAGGCAATATATCCTTTTGAAATGTAGTGATTTAAAAGTTTAAAATGGCATTAAATGAAAATACTTATCTAAGTTCCAAGAGCAGTCCCTTATTTTTGAGATATTGTAAAAGGATCATTCAAAAATCTTTTTAGTTGTGGATTAAGAAAAAGTGTCAAACAGATTTAAAGGCCAATATATACAGTAGAGATTTTAAATTGTTAATTTATGTTCCTTGTTTGTGTCGTGTAGACACACTGATCCCAGTTCAGGAGCTTCCACTCCAGATCTGGACCCGTACAGCCCAGTGGACCGGAAGAAAACTCTCCGAGGATGCAGCTTCGTTCCGGACATACAGGAGATCCGTGTCAGGTCAGAGCACTCGGACTATAATGACATTGAAGTCACTGTGTACAAAACATTGTATTTGTTAACTGCAACCTCTACAGTGCCTATTTCCGATACAATCATTATTTAAGAAAAGTTGTTGTTTAACATTTGTATTCATTTGATTGTGTGCAGCCCTATTGTGTCAAAGAAAGGCTACCTGCACTTCCTGGAGCCCCACACCAGCGGCTGGGTGAAGCGCTTCGTGGTGGTGCGCCGGCCCTACGTCTACCTGTATCGCAGCGAGAGGGACAGCGTGGAGAGAGCTGTCATCAACCTGTCGTCTGCCAAGGTGGAATACAGCGAAGACAAACAGACCTTACTGCGGGTACGACCGAGCTACTGCTCAATAGCAAAACATGTTTATAGATAAATGAATAAATAGTTGTGCAGTAAACCTGATGAGCTTAATTTACCTCATGTTTCCAGACTCCCAACACGTTTGCTGTGTGCACTGAGCATCGTGGGATTCTGCTGCAGGCCACCAACGACAAAGAGATGCACGACTGGCTGTACGCCTTCAACCCTCTGTTAGCCGGCACCATCAGGTGAGTGGGGGAGACACTGTAAAGGTAAAAATACACATAACACATAAGGAAAATCTGATTAGCAACACAGATGTTGCTCTTAAGCATTTAAAATATAATTATATATGCACTTTTAAAGATACTTTCATTTAGCTATCATAGAAAGAAATTAGATCTAAATTATTACAGTTTATTAACTGGGAAAATGTGTTACATTGTCAATAAAAAAAACAAGAGCAACGGTTTTCAGACTTTTTTGCTTATAAAACCTTCAAGATAAGTAGTGTGGTTCCTGAGGCGACTACTTATTACAGGTTATACCTTAAGTGCAGAGATAAAGAAAAGTGGTCATTTTATATATTTGGTTGTTTTTTGGAAGGACTTTAACAGACTTATAGATTGAACATTTCAAATATTTCACAGGATTTAAAACTCGGGGGGTCTCCACCCACAACAGGTTACCTGATCACGATTATACCAACATGTTATATGTTTTGGACTTGAAATTGGTTCGGCTTTGATGGATCAAACAGATTAGGGGATGTAATAAACTTTCCTTACACACCACTCAACATTTTGGATGATTTTTAGAAAAAATAAAAAGCTTGTTTGAGGGGAATCAGATCAGAAATCATTTGACTATTGTGTAGGGAGAACTGTGCATTAGATTGTGTTTAAGTCAGCGTGCATCTGATTCATTATAACATCCAACATTTTTTGAATTTGTTCACACACAAACAAGCAAACAATATTTAAATAAAGAGAAAAGAGTGATATAGTTCAGAAAACAATCCTTGGAAATGATTGGTAATTTAATTGACCTGCAAAATAAAGATTACCACAAATTATTTCTGTTTATTTACAAGATCCTACTTGTTGACATCTCACTTCCCCTCTCTTCCATCTCCTCAGGTCCAAGCTCTCCCGGAGAAAGTCGGTGCAGTCGGCCCCCGCTGCTCTGAGGATGTGAGAGGTGAACCGGCCCGGTGGAAAACAACAAAAAAACAAAACAATCCAAAAGCTCCACTCAGCATCCTGCTCTAATGAACATAGACCATATAAACAAACTTATACATAAAACCACTTAAACCCTTCTATATGATGACCGTCCCTATCCCAAACATCACCTGATTGCTCATCCTGAAACCCCACAAAACTTTCCTTCCTGTCTTTTTTGCAGTCCCCTCCTCAAAACCCTGCATGATGTGCTCCCACCTGACCTTTAGAAGAAACATAAGACAAACTAATTACCCAAACTCATAAATAAACTTACCTCTGCTGGGCATTGGGACTAGTTTTGATTAGCTTTTGGTGTAAATAATCCAGTATCTGTGAATCCCTGTAGAGAGTTAGTCAGTGGTCAGTCCCTCCTTCACTTATTATAACAAAAAATAAGTCCCAATTTGAAATCCGCCATTCGTGTATTTGTAATTAATGGCATCAGGCGAGTGGGAAGTTGCAAACCGGATGTTTCTCTTTGTAGAAGTGTGTTAAGTGCAGGGATGATCGCTCCGCATATATCCGTCGTATACTGTACATTACCTCAGTTTGGGTTTGCTTGGTGTTCTCCAGCATAGAGTATTTGTTTCACTGCAGAGGTTTCAGATAGTCATTGTAACACTGAAGTAGCATGTGGGATTTGTTAGGACAAAAGGGTACGTTGTTGTTCATGTGATGTTGTTTTTTTAACTGATTCCATGAAAACTGAGTTCTTTGGCTAAAATAAGGCAAAAATAATCCAATATCAGGAGAGATAACTCATGTCCTTGCCTTGTTCTTGTTATGTGCTTCTTATTTTTTTAAATAATAATCCCTTGTGCACATAGAACCAGAAAGCATAATGATATTTATTGTCGCTATTGTACGTTTCTGCACTGTTATTTATTTGTGACATGACCACTTACCAGTTTTGTTGCATGGCACTTTACTGTCTTTGTTGAGTTAATGTATCATTTACTCATTTGTTTAACCAAAGCATTATTTTCTTGTTTTAGAGTTTCAAATCATTGTCCACTGTGCTGCTGAGCAGATATTTAAAACATAAGAGAAATAGTTTTACATTTTTGGAAATGCACTTATTTGCTTTCTTGCTGTGAGTCAGGTGAGCAGATTGATAATGTAATTATGAAGTGACAGCAAACAGAAGGTTAGCTTAGCTTAGCTTAGCATGAAGACTGGAACCAGAGGTACACAGCTAGCATGTCCAAAAGAAGCAACTCTAAAATCACTTATAGCACATTATATCTCATTTAATAAGTGTACAAAGTTGAGATTTAACAAGGCGGTTTGTGCCAGAATATTTCTTGACAATTTTCGAGATGAAGGAACACACAAATGAGATTTAATGCATAAATGAGTGAGCTTTAAAGGCGCTGGTAGCAACAATGTTTTGCCGTTTTTTAAGTGTACGCTATGCTAACTTTTCTATCTAGTCACAAACCCAAGTAGGCTATAGCATCCTCGCAAGTACGCAAATCTCACACTCCAAGTAGCAACAAAGCACATGAGCATATTTCCAAAATCGTTGAGCAACTTTTTTAAACGTATCAATAATATCTAAATTAACCTAAGATGATAAATGCACCAGGGCCACAACTGTTTAACTTGAATCAAATAAGCACTTATTCAGTCTGTTATGGGCCAGCAGAGCTAATACGTTTACTATTCACGGCTCCTCTAGCTAAATGAAAGGTTGTAATTGACGATGGACCTGGGATCTGTTGAAGGCGGTTGCTTTGAGTGGGCAGGAGCGTTGTCCATGCACCAGATAGTGCCTCCCTTTCTTCACCTCTTTTACTTCTCTCCCCCTCCCTCATCGTCTTTCACATCAACGCGGAAGTTAATAACATGTGTCCAACATTTGGCTTTTATGTAAAGTAAATGTAGAGGCTGTGAGTCTTAATTTTGTCCCACATCTTTGACCTATGTCATTGTTTTGGAGAGTGAATATTATCAATGATGCTATATAGTATGTTGGTATAGCCTGTAGTGCAGTTTGTATCTCATTATCATTGACTGTAAATGTTGCATTTAAAAGCATTCCCCCCCCCCCCTCAGCTTTTGTACTGTCGCTGCTAGATATTTGACAGCTTGATGCTTGTGTCTGAAGTATGATTAGCTTGGTGTCGTTTTGACTCTTATGTTCAGGGAATTGTTTGTAGTCGCTTTCACCGACTGTCTGTTATTTTTGCATTATACCAAAATGACCCTTAATGTTGATTTTAGATAAATATTATCAGAGGAAAGATAAAGGTAACTGAAAATACCTAAGGTGGACATTATTTGAATTTCGATAGCATTATTTACATCATTATCTACACCTTAATTCACCTCGTTCTTTTGCAAATCTCTGATAAAGACATGGTCAGTCAACCATTTTGTCTTTCCCATTTTCCTCTCGTTTGTGGTTCTGATATTTCTTTTGGTTTAACCCGACATATAATCAGATAACAGAAAGTGTTGAGGACTCTGTACGCCACAGGCCAACCAACCTGTTGAGCAATGCAGGCTTATACTTGTGATAAATGGAAAGTTTTACTTCAAATTGACCTTTAGATTTGTTGGTTCTTGTCGCTGCTTTGATTTTGAAAATGATGTTCTGTCTGTTTGCAAAGAACAAATAGGATAGCATAATTGATTTCTGGGTCATTTTGGTATAATCAACTTTGTTTTGTAAAATGTTTAAAGATATATATATATACGGTATGTTGTCTGCTGGAACAGAAGACAAAGGAAAAGGTTTATTTATAAAGCTTAGAAGGATGGATTATGTTCTATATTTTGCACTCATGCACAAGGCATCTTTATTCAATATGATTTCATATCATGATGTTAGGAATGTATGGAAAATACTGGTTTGTTTAAAAACAATAACCTATAGCGACCCTGTCCTGGAGGGAGAAGATTAGAATTAGATCTGTGCCATTTTTGCTTCAGCAATCAAACCACGAACAACACTGCACCAAAATGCATTGATTATTTTAAGGTTTTAATATACAGCTGGTGTATGACTTGCAATGCTTCCAGACGCAATAGTTCAAGGATATCATGTTTAAAAGAAAACACTTTGTGAGACAGCTTTAGTGTACTGGCCAATAAACGTTGAGAGGTTAATGAGTTGATTAATTTATATTTGGCTGCTTTTTAACTGTCACAGCTCTGGATCAAAGCATGCAGGTCCACTTCTCTTCTGCTGTTCTCTGTCCCTCTCTCCTGCCTTACCGCCTGCTAATGACAACAGCTTCCCCCCCTGAAGTGCTGCTTGTAAAGTATTGTCATCCATGATCCTTGTATGACTAACTGGAAACCTTCCTCCTGGCTCCGTCTTGTATATAAATGGAGATGTTTCTGTGTTGGGTCTCGTCACACAGATGATATTAACTCTCTCTTCCTCTGTGTACCATGATGAATTAGAATAACTGGCCTGCTGCTTGGTCAAGCGTCACCCCAGAGCTAAGAGTGCTGAGCGGGGATCAGTTTTGCACATTTCAGCTCAGTGTGGGTGAGGTGGCGATCGTGGACAGAGTAGATGGTCCCTGGTTTTCCACTCTTGCTCTGAGCAGCTTGACCGAAGTAGAATCGGGTCTCAGCCTGTGATCGAGTTTTAATCTCAGTGCTCACGTTTAGCTTTTGAGTGTTCTGGAGTTATTTCTCATGTCTGTGGACACGTAACAAAAGTTGTCAAGAAAAATAAAATTAAAATAAATGAGTGTTGAAACTTATGCAACATTTTAGTGTGATGTGTATGATTGTCGCCTTTTTGTGTTGTTCACATTTATCCTTATACAGCATGTGACACCTGAATGGGTGAGTAGAAGACTTAGAAGACTAAAAATGAATATATTCCAATTTTAATTATAAAAATGAAACCATTTTAGTTTGACCACACAATTTAAAGAATGAGATGACTGCTTTCATAAAGAACTATGGCAGTCAAATACAATCTCGATTGCATACATAACTACCTATTAATGAGAAAACATGATTGTTCATAAGCAACTGACAGATAAACAGTTTTTTTCACTGCAGGATTACCCAGCGACCAAGAAATAGTCCATATGAGAGAGATCCTCATTCTGTCTAAAAACGTGTTTGGGGGATCTTTAAATCTTGATTCTGCTCTCTTTTTAATGATCAAAAGCATAACTACAACAGCCTTTAGTTCCTTTAAGAATAGCTAACAGACAGAAGCAGAAAAAAATCTGGTATATTTATCCTGAGTTGTTGTGACTACTTCTGTGCAGCACATCATGTTTCCTGGCTGACACGTGATAATGTCTTCTGTAACAAGTTGTTCCTGCTCTGCCCATCTCATTAGGTTGAACCTAGAAAACAAAATGTCCCCAACAGCAGAGGGCTCTTGTTTACAGAACAACCTTGACAGTGTTTTAATGAAATACATTGAAAGTGTTGGAATGAAATGAAGGACATTTAATCAAGATCTGTAAGAACAAACTTTAGGTACACCATTTTTATTTTATGCTACTTTATATTTCTAATTTACTAAAATGTTTAAGCAAATGTTGGACTTCTTTCTTCAAAGGTATTTGATAGCTTGCGTTACTAGTTACTGGACAGATCCAGGTTATAAGCTAATACAGAATGTAAATAAATGAAGTAAACATGTTGACATATAGGTTACGATAGCCAGCAGCAGTATATAAAGTAATTAAAAAGTACTTCTGTACTCTTATTTAAACATTTACTTATAACTGAGTATTTGTATGTTTACTTTAGTACTGCTACAGTATAAGCAATCTGAGTACTTCCTTCACCTCATACATTGTTAATATAACATAATGCTTTTCCTGTCTGTGTCATAACAGTTTGTTGTTTGCTCAGCATGGACACATGTGAACGCCTGCAGTGTGAGACTGTTGCTCTGCGTTTCTGCAGCCCTCCATTATTGATTATGTACTCACCATGTACTTAGCTGCATCAGGGCCGGTCACACTAATCCCCCTTATTACACAGGCAGAAATACTGGACTGCAAACAAAGGCTCATCCCAGGCACTGAGGTTACAGCTCACTATTGATGAACAATACGTTTGGTAAGATATCTGCAGGGCTTTTATGTGTAACGGATGTTGAATATTTAATCATGTGTTCTGTTTCAATATCTCTGTCCAATTGCCCTCTTTTTGTTTGTACTGTAGGTGACCAGCAGCCGGGAGATTGACATACTGCCAATAGAGACGACTGGCATTTAAAATCTTCACTGAACACAATTGTGAAAAATAATATATTGATAACAAATTAGAAAACAAGATACTTTGATTTAAAATAGTTAGTCCAAAAGTTTTAAAATTCATTAAAGGTGCAGTCAGTGATTTAAATCCCATAGCTCTGTAAAATTCAGCTAATATTTCCTCACAATCGCTAACTGTATAGATGAACAGAGATGTGCTTCCATTTTATTAAACGTATTAATCTACACATTATTTGTGAGATCCGCCCCCAACTTTTGACTTCTTAGGTCCATTTTAGTTCAAATAAAGAGCAGTCTGTACGGGAGATTGCTGGTTTATGCAATTTCCTTTTTCTTGGAATGATTCACTATACCAAAGCTGTTGATTTCTTCCCACTGAGCCGACATGTAAACTATTTCGGTTTAGTAAACAGCAGCTTGTGAAGGCAGGTTAGCCAACCAACAGAGACAAAGTTGGTGTGGATTCGATGATAGAAAGCTTACACACCGCTCATGTCTCTTTCTACCGAAGGGGATTCCCAGTCACCGTCAAATTAGTTGAATTGTTTCCTATGAAAGGAAAAAAAACTAACAAAACAAAGAACAGTAGGCTATCACCACTAAAAGATCAGGATTAAGTTCAGTAATTGATTTAGCTAACCTATGGACTATAGGCCACAACTTTTGAAATACTGTCCTGCAGCCCCCCGCCACCCTTGATAGCCATTACATTACTGCTCCAGTGATGCGTGGCAATTTATTTGCTTAGTCACGAATCTGACAAAAAGGTTGATGTAACAGCTTTAGATTAACTGCTATGAAACTGTGCCAGTAGGAGTAGCTATAGCAACATGTTCAAATAAAGCAGACTGCTATTCATTGAAATGCTGATATTGAAATACAAAACTCCACGCCAAATGTGTGTCCCACAAGAAGTGAATCACTCGGGTGCAGTCTCGGATATTGACTTTCATCTCCGGTCTCAAGTGTGAACATGAACATGTGAGAAGGTGTCCATGCACACACACATACACACGGACACACACACAGCATACTGTATGCCGTCTCCTACATACATTCACAGAGCAATTGTTATACTTCCTGATGCAGTCACCCTATCCCTCTTCGTTAATTATGCACACAAAGAAGGGCCCCCGTCTGAGGTTTGGGTCCAGGTGATGCTGCTCCTTGGTCTGCCTGTTTATTGGCCGCTCCAGAGTAGAGAGACAACACCTTCTGGAGTAAACTGCGCGTCTTTATTTTCAGTATTATTATTATTTTTTTTTAATTCCTCCTATAATTAATCTACTGTCCCATTGCTCGTGATTTCACAGTTCCTGGATATATTGTAAGTACTGCATGCTTTCATATATTGAAGTATTATATTATCAGATCTTCAAGGTAATGTTAAGAGATGGAACTCGAGAAAAATGATTGTGTATTTGCAAATGACAAATAGATTTTGAATCTATTTTATTTGAATTAAAAATACTTTCTTGACAGTTTACATTTTATATTTATTAACCATCAAAGCCTTACTTAGATATAAAAAAAATTTTTTAATTTCATGTGTATTGGAAACCATTGCCATTAACAGTTGGAATGAAAGCAACAGATTGCTAAGGGCACTAAATACAATTTATCTGGTCAATAAAAGAATCAAATGTATTTCAAAGGTTTTACAGGTTTATATTTGGTGACAAATTAACTTAATATGACTTATCTTTTAAAACACTAATTATGTTAGTTGTTCACAAAGCTTCTAACTAATCTAACTTCTTGCATATACATCTAATTAGGACAAACATCTAATTGTTTGTGTAGTATTTATGCTTTAGAATGGCGTGGAGCCTGTGAGAAATCAGGAAGGTTACCTGAAGCAGGATATCATGTCTCTCATAACTCTAAGAACACTTTCTCCTGCACTCTGTGCGGGCTACGCTACTGATGCTGACGGGGCTCCTGTTTCACCACGTCTTGTTTTTTATCCAAGTACTACACGCTGCGGCCAGAGTTTTTTTATATTGACCATGTGGCATCAAGGAGGTCTCTTCGAAGATTACTTTGAAATCGTTTATTTACTCACTGCTGTGTGATACTTTGTGTCACATTTCTTTCCAGGAGGGGTCCTCTTTTGCTCACTTTATCTAGTTGTTGTTACATGTTGTTATTCTTAATGTCATTTTCAGAAAGAGGAGTTCCTGTTGCTTCCAGAAGACCAGACTGTGACTGAGCAGAGCCAACATGGAGAACAGCAAGGTGAACAATCATCAGTGCAGCGATAGAAAATTACAGTAGGAGAATATAACCTGGCAAACTAATAGAATCACTAATTCCTTCAAAGGTGCTTTTAATAATATGACATGCTTTTTTTGCTATGACAGGTCAAAATGTAGGACACTAATGAGAACTAATGCGTTTGAGAACATCTAAATAATCTGCTTGCAGTGCCCAAACCCAAAATATTATCAACTATCAAAACATTTCCAAATTGGGATCAATAAAGTACATCTTATCTTATCCAACCTCGTTATTTTATAAAGAATATCAGCAAACCTTGTAATATTCACAATCTCATTCAACACCTCCTTATACTGTAAACGGTAATTACCAATGGCACCAAAACAGAAAATAATTCCTAGAGAAAGGCATTTGAAGTGTTCCACTAAGCATAACTGTCCCTTTAATCATGGATCACCCCTGCTGTGTGTGTCCCCAGCAGCCAATGAAAGAGGTGCTCCCCCTGCCTCGCAACCCTTCACCACTTCCTGGGACCTCACCCTCTGTGACCCCTGCCGCCCCTTCAAAGAAATACCACTCGGACACCATGCAGAATGTGCAGATGGCCTCCTCAGGTGATTAACAGGGACTATTACGTTATATAAAATGACATTAAACCGACACAACCACCATAAATTACACATCCAAAAATAATAATATTGATTCATTTTAAGATACAATTGTTGACATTTAGCCTTTGTTATGTTACAGTGGTGACATCGTTCAGCTACCTGAAGCCTCCAGACAGGGATCTCACGCTGATGTCCCACATGAAGTCCATTAAGTCTCTGAAGAATGCTGCCATCTTCACTGGACAAACGGTGATAACAACCTTCAAGATAAACAGTACTTTGTGCATAAAAACATAAAAGATGGCTGCCTTCAGGATCGATAGGGAATGATTAACAGGGTAATGTACATTAGATTACATGACAAAACCCTATATAAGTATCTGAGACTAAATTGGACAATCACTGTTGTCCAATTATAGCTAGGGGAGGGATGGGAACATATTTAATTAGGCTCGTATGTTCTCAATAAAAATGACAACACTGTATCAAAACTAGTAAGTAATAATAACTGTGTGGATGTACAATGGGTGTTACATTAATAATGTTTTAGTTTTGACACATGGTATACAAAAAATGAAAGAACATCAGAAAAATACTTGTTATTATTTATTTTATTTCACAAACCTTTAACACTGACAACTACTGTCTCCAATGGTTGTACAGTGTAATAGTCATGAACTGTTGGAGGAGGTACTGAACGCTGATGTGATCCTGGCTGACATCGACTCCCTGGTGCCGACTCACGATGAAGCCGGCCGGCCCATCGCGGAGTGGAAACGACAGGTGATGGTGCGGCAGCTGCAGGTCAGGCTGCAGGACGAGGAGGAGCAGAGGAGACAGGTATGTTTACTTTAGTGTTGACTAAGTAAAATCTGTGGTCGATGTATGTTATTGGATATGTCTGCATCTGCATAACCAATCCTATTTGGTAAGATTAGAAGAGGTAGGGAGTGGTTGGATCAATCAATCAATCAATCAATTCATCAATAAATCAGTAAATGAATCAATCATAAAAATCAATCAATCAATACAAATGTATATAGCCACATAACAAATTAAACATTTGTCTCAGGGTGAATCACAGTGTGTACAGCATATGTCCTGAGTCATCGCAGTGGATCCTGAAAAACTCCTAAGAAACCTATTGGAGAAGAAATTGAAGAAACATCTGGGAGACTGAAAGAGGAGGTATACCTCTCCGAGGACGGCCAGACGCGCAATAGATGTTGTGTGTATGAATTAAAAAAGACAAGTTAAGTTATTTGGTTGAAGTTAGTGTTTCTCGAATAGGGTTGGACTCACCAGGGTGATAATTGAGCTTTAAAAGACATGAACAAGGGGAACAAGTAAAGAGCATGTAGAGTAGTCTTGTAGACCAAATATAAGCTAGAATCCTATCAGTCAAAATTATTCTGAAAATCTATTCGCTCCCCTAACAGGACATGACTAATGGCTACTCACCAGTGGACGGCTGGAAGTACTCCCAAACCCACAACGCCGTCTTGGGGCCCTTTGGAGAGCTCCTAACAGAGGATGATCTGGTGTACCTGCAGCAACAAATTGAGACTGTTTCACTGCAGAAACGCTGCCAGGCCTACGAGCTGGAGCTGACGAGGCTCACCGAGGAGCTGCGGTCCATTTTACCTGATTCCATCTTGAACATCTCCCTCAACAAAGAGGTCCTACAAAAGATGGACACTGAGGGGAAAATGCACCCTACTTTGCCAATGTGGTGCAGTCGTGTCTCAGAGATTGTTAAGAGTATGTCGCTGCTGGTGGCCAACCTGACGCAAACCACAGAAGAAGGGGGTGAGAGGAGCGTAATGAATGGAATAATGGGAGAGATGAAGGGTTTGCAGGGGGTTAGCAACAGTTTAGGAATTGAATTGGACCAGGGATTGGTGCAACACGAGCAAGAGGTAGCACATGATGAGACCTCTAGTGGTCCTAGGATTCCTCACATAGGAATGGCGTCTACTTTCAGCCATCGACTGGAATCCAACAGCTACAGCCGAGCTCGGAGGGAGAGAGTGGTGAGGGAGATCCAACAGTCCGGGGTGTCGGTCAGAAACCTAAGATCCAACTTTGAGGGTCAGATTGGCAGCATTTATCCCTTTGCTGGGGTTATGAAAGGAGGACAGGTAATGTTTGGAGCTCCAGAAGAAAACAACCTGAATAGTCACTGCGACCCTCCCAAAACAATTAAACCTGTGATGGAGACTACCAGCCTAAGGAAAGAGCGTATCGTGGTGCTGTTCCTGAGCCACTGGAAGAAATCTGCATATGCTATTTCAGTGAGAGCAGCGAGGCAGAGACAGGGACAGGAAGCACTGCCAGAGAGAGTGACAGGCGCTTTGCCCCAACAGAAAATCACCTCCATGTTTCAATTCTGCCAACAACGATGTGCTGTAGACAAGGTGCTTCACTGCTGGAGAAGTAAACTAGGACTCAAAGAAAAAAAAAAGTCCTGTGTGTCCTCCTCAAACTGTTCTCGAGTAATATTCTCCCCAGAGCAATTTCTGCCAGACGTGGACGGTGTTGCAGTGACCCACGACAGCTTGACCCTTGACCTCTTCATGGTGGGATACTTCCACATTTTGGAGCAAGAGCTGCTGCCCGAGGAGAGGAAGATGAGGCATCTACTCTGCTTCGAAGTCTTTGACCATGTCGGCAGTTTCTCCTGGGAGAAGGTGAAGGACTTCCACAAGGCCGTTCTCCAGGAAATCCAGTCAGGGAGTCGACAGTGGAGCGACGGCTTTGAGGACATCAAAGTTCGCTTCTTTGGAGACTCCAGACCGTGCCACTGCCCATCATCATCCTTATTGGCAGATACCAGACTCCTACCCAAAGTTGTGGTTCAAACTGTGGCTGCAGATGAGTGCGGCAGGGACTCTAACTCCTCTTGTTTCAACAACCAAGACATTTGTAAATATATTGACCGTAGCTTTGCTTTCTGGAAGGAGAAGGAGGCTGAGCTGTTTGAATTTGCACATTAGTATTAAGGTTCCATTTGATAATTTTGCACAAAATAATGACATGTTGGTGTGTTTACAAAAGCTGAATTAAATGTTGTTGAGAATGCCTTATCGATGCATTATTACTGCAAACTGAGTTGATGATTACAGTTATTATTTGTTTATATCCAAATGATTGACAAGGCCTCCAAGAAAGGCATTGAATTCAACATCTATTTACTGAAAACAAAAACTAAATCCTATTCATTTAATTTGATATATAATGTGTGTATTCTGACAGCAGGACCACGGTAAACGTCATACAATTCAAAGACTTCCTTAAGATCTCAGAGAATTTATAGAATGAGTAAGCACTCTATATTCAAATCTTTTAAGTAAAAGTAGCAAGACAGTGATATAAAATGACTCCAATATATGTAATTATATGTTTGTATTGCTGTACTATATTTATGGATTATTGTCATTAATGCATAAACTCACATTGCAATTTGCAGCTTGTTTGTTTTCATCTTTCACAAAGCATACAATGATGAAACATTTGATCACAAATGTTTTAATTTGTAAATCAAAAAGATGTATAGTAAAGTTAAAAGTATAATATTCGTCTTAGAAATAGGTTGAACCCTAACCCTATTATTAACTTAAAAAAAACAAAGGCGTACAATGACTAAACAAATTACAATAGCTGAAAATAAACCATTGACATTTGTTCTGTAATCGACCAAACATTTATTTACTTATGTTTCACAGTCGTGCACGTTGTTATTATCTTAAATCTACTACACTAAAAACAGTTTCGTTCGATTTCCTATAGAAAGGTGACGAATTAAAATAGGTGAGGTCGCGCAGGCGCAGTAGCTCCACAGATTGACAGGAGGATGCTGAGCTGCATTCCCATCATTCTGAGAGGAGAGGAGGATCCCCCTGCGCACCCACAACGAAGGAGACGCCGAGCAATAAGAACATATCTAATAATCCAAGTTGAGCTCTTTATCTGCCACCATGTCAGCTGGAGGAGATTTGGGGAACCCCCTGAGGAAATTTAAACTCGTGTTTTTGGGCGAGCAGAGCGGTGAGTCAGATCTTTTGGGAGGGTTCGGTGTTGTCCTCCCATCTATTGCTTAACATGCGTATATGTAGAAGGCCATGTATGTTATCCTTGTTGATTTACAAAGTTTCAGCTGAATCTGAAGGATGTGGCCGGCTTTGTGTAATTTCACGCCCATGGACCCTTGGGCACAATATGTGACTGTAGAAAATCTGATTACCCGAAGAAGAAGAAAAAAAACCGCCTGCATGTAAATGTGACCCTTGGATTTGCTATAACTATCATGACCACTCACTGCTCATTGTACTGAATATCCCTAATGATTGTTTAGTTGGTCCAAATTGTCATAATTCGCATCCTAGCAGGCGATATGAATTCAGATGTTTTGATGTACTGCAGTGACCGACAAAATGCTCAGCCTGTTTTCAGATAACAGCTATAATTCCCTCACATCGCTTATTTCTAACAAGAACAATCGTTTTATCCATTACATGACAGTGTGTAATAATTTCCTCTTCCTCTGGGGTACTTATTTCATTTGGAAAAGATAATAAACAGTCCCCCATGTGTCAGTTCGGGACACACCCTAGGCTGGCGATGTCTGTAGCATCTCTAAAGCTCGCAGTCTCCGGTTCGGTCCCACACATAATAAAATATAAACGAGCTTGACAGCGCCACAGCATTATTCTATGGTTTCAATAAGCCATCTTTTTTTAGGGTGGGGATGACTGTGTGTTATTTAATGTGATGGCACAAATTCGGCAGATCAATAATGGTTTAGCGCTGTAAATCTGCCTGAATACGTGTTCAGACAGCAGACATCCAGAGTGGCAGCAAGGGAACAAACATCCCATACAATACAGCTGTAGAAAACACATAAATAGGCTTAATAGGACAACAGCTTGACTGGTGTCTTACATTGTGAAGCCCCTGTGTGTGTGCTGCATGTATATGAGGAGACTGTGTGTCGACTTCGAGCCTCCCTGTGTGCGTGTGTGTGTGTGTGTGTGCGTGTGTGTGTGTGTGTGTGTGTGTGCGTGTGTGCGTGTGTGTGTGTGTTTGTGTGGCCTGCGCTGCAATGTTGCTGTCCACGGCGCTGTATCGAGGCCTGGTGTGGCCACTGCCCATCTCTGGATTCAAAAGCACAGCTGTCTGCCCTGAGAGGCTCTGCATGAGGGCCTGGGGCCTGCTGCAGAAGTCCACTGCTCAGTCATGTTGTAGATGCGAAGTAAAATGGTGCTAAAGATGGTGGTAAGATGGGATGTAAATAAGATCCGGCTCACCTTGATGCTCTGAGGAGTCACCATGACTAACACTGCCACACATCTGTCTGCTTTAGGAGGCCTTGTGCATTTTTTTGTGTGATAATTATTAGAAACAATTTCTGTTTTCCTCGTTTTTCTTTCATTCAAATGTTCCTGATCACCATCAAAGAAAGAATACAAGAAAATAGAGCTGAGTCATTAGTCCATCAATCAATCAGGTGGTTAACAGAAAATAAATCTGCAACTATTTTTTACAATATCTAATCTATATGTTATATTTATAGGGACAATTAGATATATAGGTTGGACTAAGGCCACATACCACAGCGGCCCACTGTGGTTTACAATGCACCCATAGATGGGCCATTATAAAAGCATACAACATTTGAAAGTACATACAAAACAAAACATAAACCATCATACAATAATACAAAATATAAATTAATTTGGTAATCAACAACTCCTTTAAATTAATAGATTGAGTAAAAATGTAATGTGAGGGGTTAGCCTCTTTAAGGTGAGGGTTGCCTGATAACATGTTTTGTATTACTTTAAACTTCTCAGTGTTGATGCGACAAAACATAACATTTGAATTAGTCGACATTTAAAAGGCATTGACTATATGATGAATGGAATAATTAAAAAAATGATCTAGAGATACTGATGTTAGTTTTAGCACATTTATTTCTTACTTCTTCTCTTTAGAACAGAAAATGTAGTCATTTCTTTGGTCTACTAACATTACAATGAAATGCATTGTGTTGTCATGAAAGGGAGGTTACTTAAAATTAGGTTATTATCACAGATCTTAACCAACTAAACTCCATATAATATGCATTGTGGATATATGGTAGAGACTGAAACGACAGATTTTTACTTTTCATGTAATATTCTTTTTTTGAAATAGAAATGAAATTCTTTCTTTTAAAAGTGAAGGTTACAATGACAGTGATTGAATGCTATTGCACATCTTTTAATATCTTTCTGTGACTTCCTGAACACACCAACTGTCATATCGTTATGTTCAATTTAAATTGTGTTTTCATAAGAAACCCATATGACTGTTTATAATCTGAAATATCACATAACTAAATATATACTTCTGTTTCTATTCCAGTGGGGAAAACATCTCTCATTACTAGATTCATGTATGACAGTTTCGACAACACGTATCAGGTAAGACTCGGGCCAGCCTTACAAAAAAGAAGATAATGCATAATGCTGCACTGAAGAAGTTACCAAGGACTCCTTGCCATATTTCTCTAGACAATAGTCTTCTGATGATAGATTAGAATAACACTAGTTATAAGTTATTAGTTATAATAAAGCTTTCAATTATATTAAGCCCTTTTTGGTCAAATGGGCAGACTAAGAGAATAATGTCAAGTCTGATATGCAAATTCCAAATCAGGGTTTTTACAAAATAATGTAATTTGCACTGCAGTTATCAAAAGGAAATGCTAGGCAATAATAGACTATTATTAAAAAGAGAAAACAGATTATTCTGTCCCTGCCTATCTTAGGAGTTCGCTACGTAACAAGTCTGAATGATTGATCCCTGAGGGTAATACAAATTATATTAGTTTTTCAGTCTGATTCAATTTCAGGGCTTATTGGCTGTTCTTTTTGTGTTTTCCTTCATTTAAACAACAGTCAATCTGCTCTGATGGTGCAGGGAGACATTTAGCTTTTAAAGTCTGTGTAATACTGATGATCTTTTTTGCCCTCCTTTGTTCTTTCTCCACCGCAGGCTACCATTGGAATAGACTTCCTATCTAAGACAATGTACCTGGAAGACCGAACAGTAGGAAGCTTTTAATATCATTTAAAATTCATTTAAACATGTAAAGATGAATTCATGTTTTATGTGTCGTTTTAAGCCAGCAAACCTCCTGAGCAAGACATTTCCCAATTTCCACTCTGGTTTCACTAATCTCTGATTTGATTTCCTTAATAACTTCTCACTTCACAGACTAACACGATTATACTTAGCTTATTTCTGCTATTAATAGTCTTTGCTCTTCTAGCCCTAAGAAGTCGAAGTCCTTTCCTGCATGGATCATCCATTTAGCTTGTATTAATAGTATATTTTTTGTCAGGATATAAAGCTCTGTAAGCCTGCACGGGAGCTGATACTGGCTTATCACTTTGGATGTGTACTTATACTAAGGCCTGGGTAGTCTGTGTGTAGTATGAAGTTGAAACAGCTACTGAAGTGTGTGTGTGTGTGTGTGTGTGTGTGTGTGTGTGTGTGTGTGTGTGTGTGTGTGTGTGTGTGTGTGTGTGTGTGTGTGTGTGTGTGTGTGTGTGTGTGTGTGTGTGTGTGTGTGTGTGTGTGTGTGTGTGTTTGTGGTGTAAATACAGGTAAGGCTGCAGCTGTGGGATACTGCTGGGCAGGAGCGTTTCAGGAGTCTCATCCCGAGCTACATTAGAGACTCTACTGTAGCTGTAGTCGTATATGACATTACAAGTGAGTGGTCATTTACCTATGAGCACGTATGCATTGTCTTGTATGTGTTGATCTGTCTGAAAAACATAACAACCCAGCAAAGAAATAATATTTTCCCATGGGATTCTAACATAACAACACAAAAAAAGACTGGATTTGAACTAAGAGTCTTGTCTATGCAGATGTGAACTCGTTCCAGCAGACCTGCAAATGGATCGATGACGTCCGGACAGAGAGAGGAAGTGACGTCATCATCATGTTAGTCGGCAACAAAACAGATCTGGAAGAGAAGAGGTGAGTATGTCAAATACAACATTTAGCTAAGGTAGTCTTTGACAGGAGGATATTTTGTTTACTGAGCAGAAAGAATGTCGTAAAAGTCAACATGTCAGTACTGAATAAATTATGCTTCGATGTCATGTTGCTGAGCCTGGCCTGATTTTCTTGCAGGCAAATCATGATCGAGGAAGGAGAGCAGAGAGCCAAAGAGTTGAACGTCATGTTCATCGAGACCAGTGCCAAGACAGGCTGCAATGTCAAACAGGTGAACCCCGCAGTTTCACCATATTTCTCAGCATTTTGGCCATCATTATTCCAAGCTTTTTCTGCCACTCCTTTGTCTATCCAAGGCGATTCAGATACCAACTTGAGTAGACAAATAAATATGTACATATGTCAAAAAAGTCTTAACTATAGCGTGGATGGTGTGCACATCCGATAATAGTGGGTGCGGTGCAAACGTAGCAAACAAAGGAAAAAGACAGTTAGCCTATACATATTGCAACCTCTACAAAACAGAGCTGGGATGTTACTTAAGACTTGATAAAAAGATTAAATGATTTATTCAATATGTAAAACGAATTATATCTTCACAAAGAGGCTGGAGTTCATAAAGAATAAATGTAACCCTCCTACTCTTGCTATCTCTTAAATGCTCTCTCCGTTGCCCTCTATGTTCATCTTCTTTTTGAGTCCCTAACCCTCCCTCCTCTCCTCCTTTTCTCTCCTCATAGCTGTTTCGTCGTGTTGCAGCAGCCCTGCCTGGAATGGAAAGTTTGGACGATGCAAATCCTGAAGGCAGTATCCTTTATAGCCGCTGTGAATTGCTGTGCCAAGAGCTACACGGCCAAGAAACAGGCAGCTTATTTTTAATCTCTTAGAGGTTGTTGGCACTAGTACAAGCAGACCGCCCAGCCTACTGTCTAGTGAGGCATCAGCCATTAAAGCTTTTTTGCCTAATTGAGGAAATGCATAGAGCCAAGAAAGTAGCGTGGATGCACAGGAACAGCACCACATAGTGGTCGTCTGGGAAGTGACACACATTGAGGACATGTGATGGAGGATGGATAAGGGAGTAATTGAAAAGAGATACTTATCAATACATGTAAATTATTAATGGAAACATTATACATGGGACTACTTCATTCAATTCCTGTAATCTGATAATTCAAAGCTCTATAACTAGTTGTTTCCTTTTTTATTACAGCCGATCAAGTATTCACTATGCAGAGAATGTACATACATGAGGAGTATTATGTAAAAATAAAAATCTCTATAAAGCCTTTTGTATGTACAGAATAAGCATGTCAAGGAGAAGCAACATACATTCATAATGGTTTAGGAACATATGCAATTGAAGCACATTTTAGGCAGTAATTTAAAGCATTTCCCATCAATAATATTTGACGTTTCTCTCACCTATCCTGTGACTTTCCTTAACTCCTTTCTTCCCAGTGATTGACATCAAGCTGGACAAACCGGCAGAGCCCTCTGTCCCCGAGGGCGGGTGCTCTTGTTAATGCCGAGCTGAAATCGGACAGCTCCCTTCACACCATAGGCTTGTTGTGTTGCTTACTACTGGTTAGCTTCCAGTTGACTTCTCTAATTGGATATAGGATGCGGGCCTTGTATCTCATTAGACAAATCAAATGTTATCTTTCAGTCTTGTTCAGTTGTAAAATATTGTATACTTTGTCAATATGTAAGTGACTGGAGGAGAAAAGAAAAAAAAAAAAGCCCAACCAAATGAGGAAATAAAAAACGAACAAAAACAGTTTTGGAAAAATGAAAAACGGGACAACCAACGGAATTCTTTTCGCTGTTATGTTTTGTATTTTTTATATATAAAAAGGGAAATCACCAAAAATGATGCCTGAACACAGAGGAATAAATAGTGGGGGGTCGGCCACTCTCAATGGCCGAACACGTCTGAATGTCTGCAGCACGCATGCACGTTGATCTGATCTTTGACCTTTGGCCTGACATCCAGGGTCTCTGCACTCTGGAAGGAGGTTGACTATCTTAGAATGTTTTATAGCATCTCTCTATAGCATCTCATGACAAAATGTATCTCACTTGATATTCCCACAAGAGTCAACTTTCAGTAGGTTCACCTTACAGTAGCTGTGAATATGTGGCACTCTATCTCTCTATGGGTTTAACTTTTATAGAACAAACTGTACTGTGGTTGAAAAAAAATAAGTAATACAATACAACTTAATATCACAACTCCCACTCCCTTCAAACACTCCTGTACCCTTTCCTCAAACCCTCTCTCCTTCCCAGTCTCCCGATCCCTTCATCCCGTTAATACGCATATAACGATCCACTGTAATGCACTGCACTGTATATAATAATGTAATATGTATGTTGTGAACGTCCCTCTGTAGAAGTGGTCCTTGTTCACCAGTATGAATAATGTAATAATGTTTAATGATTAATAAATTACAGATTAAAGGGCTTCACTCTCCTAACCATCAACATTTACCTGAAAGCCAAATGGTCTATTTAATCCATGATTTTATTTTTGTTTTTTACGGATACTTCGTACACAAAGTTTTACATCCCTGTAGCAGGCTATTTAGGAAACAACTAAGACAAATAGAATAGGCCTACCTCATATATAGGCTTTCTCTAAAAACACACATTTCATAAGGTACATGTTTTTTGAGTATCAACAAATGCCAGTGTGTGAAAACAACATGCGCATGCGCAGAGCCTTGGGTAATGAAGGTGGATGGCACAGGTGTGGCAGATTGCCCCTCGATTAGAATAGGGAACCTGTTCAGGTCAATTAGAGTCAAACTACTAGCTTATTGGTTATGAACAAGACTTCACTTTAAAATAGGGAACATATTCTAAGATAGAAATACCTAATTTTGAGTTATTTAGACATATTGAGCAGAGCATATTAAGACCAAAACTCATGTACAACAACTTCCTTACTTGCAATAAATAAGGACTAATTAGAGGGTTATTGAGGAAAAACTCTCAACTAATGGCTTATTACTTGTAGAATATGGCCATGTAGAATAAGGCATTAATACATGTCTTATAATGAATAATAAAGAGCCAATATACTGCTAATATGCATGTTAATGAACAACTAGTTGATGGTGAACTAAGGCAATCTAATGAGATAGCTAACTCAATATAATGAGATAGCTAAGTCAATATAATGAGATAGCTAAGTAAATATATTGAGATAGCTAAGTCAATATAATGACTTCCTGTAGCGCAAACAGGCTTCCATACTATAGTGAGCATTAACTGATTTTTGAATGACAATCCACTGAAACATTAGAGCATCATTGGATTAATGCAAACATGTTTGACGTTGTGTTGAAACATCCATGCTAAAGAAACTGATACGGTCAAAGTGCAGGTGAAGTAGTTTTGGGACTCTATGGTATGCCCACTACTTAATGAACATTTGCAATGGCTTTCAAAGTTAACCTTAACAATGTTTTTGTATCTTTAGTGAGAGCCCTGTGGTCCCTTATGGACATTTAAATAAAGTGATACATTGTTTGACAGATAACAGCAATCATCAGATAGGTACCCTAACATTCATTTTCATTTAGAAAAGGCTCGCAAGAAGAGACATAATAGAACATATTGCTCCAGTGTCTTTTATTGTTGTTAAGTATTGGCTTAAATCAAAACAACAATAATGAAAATAATATAATAGAAGAAACTGCACAGTTTGGAAAGGCTGTCTTTATTGCTCTTGACTGTACAAAGAATAAAGTTACACAGCAACAGCAACCAACCATGTAATCAATATGTCGGTCAGTGAATTGTTTCCAGTGTTAATTTTGTCATAATTATTGCACCAATCCTGAGCTCCACGCAGTGAGTCAGTGTCTGAACATCTGATAGTTATGGGGAAGTTGTGGTGGAAAGAACCTTTTAAGAAGGAAACTGTCACAAGACATTTTAAAGACACTTACATCAAGTCCTCCCAATACAAGAGGACAGGTATTCCCCTAGATGGACAGCTTCTCATACAACCCCCATGAGGGTCAACAGATGGAAGGAGACAGTTAGTGCTGTTAGTGGACACATGAACTCCACAGAGACACATACTCAGACAAGAGGTCGAGGGGGAATTGGTTCGATTTCCACAATGGTGAAACCTTTGTGAAAACCTCAGCCAGTCGAAATCAGTGGCATCAGTGCTATACATTTGCATGGTAATGTGTACACGCTAGAGTTGCAACAAATGCCCCTCAAATATGGCGATGTATTTCTTTTTTTATGACGGCCAAAAAAAATCGCCTTGGACTTTGACAAGCTGATGGCATTTTTCAGTTTTTACTAACATTATTTATATTTCATATATTAGTAGACTGAATAATGAATCTTTAAAATAATCAGCAAATGTATCAATAATGAAGTAATCGTCAGCAGGAAACGACACACCTATGCACAATGTTCCTCCCTGAGAAGGACACACCTCTTCCATCCAAAGTACTTCTTGTATGATCTCGGATCACTTTGGAGTTGATTCACTCACAAAGTGGATCATGTCCAGAGTGGAAGCCTTTCGGGACACAAACCTCCGCTCCATGCTGAGGGGGCTGCGGACAGATATCGCCATGGCTGTAGACGACCCTTTCCCTCTTGTCTACGGGTTGGTGGACACAAATATCATCACTGACCAACTACTGAAGGTAAGTACAACATTATTTTTTCACTTTGATTACATTCATTTGCCATTTTCGACCCAATCAAACACTGAAAAGCAATAATTTAGACGATGACCCAGGAACACCTTTTTAGATTGTGACATCAATTCAGACTGAAGAGTTCACACACCCCCTGTTGCTTATAGGACACTCTGGAGAAGGAAGGCAGTGAGGGGATCCATAAGGCCATGTACTCCCTCCTGTCCTGGGTCCTGGAGCAGAGCAGATCCACCATCCAGGCCTTCTGGAGCAACCTGTCAAAAGACTACAACCTGGACAGCTACCCTAAACTGCAGACGCTGCTCACTAACCTACACTCCAGTGCGTAACGTTCAAGTTTCACCAACATATTTATCAAAAGTTATAGTATGCATTTATCATTTGCTGACATTTTTTGGACAGAATGGGATGCTGCAGGTGCCAGAGGTGAGAAGAAATTGTCTAAAAACACAAAAACACCTCACATCAAGAAGAGGAGCCACGAGGACAGAAAGACAAACTCACACAATCTGCAACCTCAGTATCATGCCAAGACAAGCGATGGACCAGGTTATTTCCCATAATGCATCTCCTCTGACTCTGATTTCTAACTAAGAACATGTTAAAGCTCATGATGATGATGATGATGATGATGATGATGATGATGATGATATGTGTGATTTTTCCAGGTGGCAAAGTAAGACTGTACAGAGTGAAGAGTGGAGCTGCAGCCCCACGGCCAACATCTGGAAATAGTAATTACAAATCAGTTATATTTTCTAGATGTAAATATAATTATTTAATATTACAGAAACATTGAACCCAAGTTCTGCCACAGATGCGGTGTCGTCTTCTGTCCAGGGACCAGTCACTCTGTCCTCCTCTTCCTCCTTAGCTGAGCTGCCGGTCAGCCATGAAGCCACAGAGAAGATCCATATCCAACAGATGTTTGTTTCAGATGGTAAGCCTGGTTACTTTTATGGCTACACATATTGATAGAACTACCCAGCAGGTTGGAAGGGTAACTTTGCAAAAGGAATCCAATACATTTACTTATTACCTGTTGGAAAAAAAAAATCATAAACCTTATCCAACACTTACCATATAAAAGTACTTAACCTGAATACTTGATTTACATGTAGGCTGGTGATGGATTTTTTTGGAGTATTAAAGTTTCTGAATGTGTTGCTCAGTTCTAACCATCACTTGTCTGGGCCAAAGGAGAATCTGCAGAAGAACTATTCTTTCTGTATCGCCTGGCCTTAACAAGAAAAAGATAGTATAGCAAACTTTAGATTTTGTGTATATTCTGTTTGATATAAGTACAAAATAAAAAAAAACTGTAAATCCACAACAAAATAAATGTGTATCTTTCTGATGATTATGATGTTCAAATCAAGAATTTGACTTTGCTTCAATTATATTGAATCATTGAAATTATGCATCACTCTAGATCAAATAGCATAATAGCTAAATAAGGAACTACTATTTTAAAAATAAATGTTAAAAACCGTTGTCATTTAACAGGAACTGTCAGACAGTGCATACAAGTTGGTGAACAGTTTTACCCTGCGCAGACAAATGGAGCATCCCAAGCTGCTGAGAACACGTTTCACCACCAGGGGGAGACACACACAGGCATGGTAGAGATCCTCTCAGCATTCACTCATTCACATGTCTTTCCTTTGAAGCTGCTTTTGTGTCCTAAGTGTTTTGTATCTCTGTGTTTAGGCTCAGTATAATGATGATGAGTGTGCAGTGTGTAAGGACGGGGGGGAGCTGATTTGTTGTGATGGATGTCCTCGAGCTTTTCATCTGACCTGCCTTCTCCCTCCACTCACGTCTATACCGTGGTGAAAAACTAAAGATTTTAATCACTCTCTGTCTCTGTGTCATTTGTTGTTATGTCAAGTTCTGCTTTGTAAAGAAGTTTAAATCTGAAGTTACATGTTTTATTTGCAGTGGCACGTGGCAGTGTGACTGGTGCTGTGGCAACACAGTGAAAAGAGAGAATGCCCATCTGCCTTTACAAGTAAGTATCTGAAGGATATAAAAATTATATTTGTATTAAAAAGTTTCCACACAACATGATGTATAATATTTTCAGATCATAATGGTTATTCTTTTATGACTATTAATGATCTGCTTCCTAAAACAAACAATGTATACAGTTATTTTCATGATGTTGATATAGTTGGTTATAGTTAATCAGTTGTTTAATTGGTTTTGTATTCTAGTATAATACATTATTTTTGTCACACAGTAGCATTGAATACTCTCCTTTTAAAATATTTATTATCTGATGATAAAATTGTGTTAAAAGATTAGTTTTTAGACTGAATGGTTTGTGCTCTATATTTTCCAGTACTGATCATGGTCATAATATTTATATTACAGCCACTCATTGCCCAGACGCAGCAAACCATTACAAGCTCCAGTAACTCCATCATGGACGTCTCCTTCTTCTCCTTGCTCTCATCCTCGTGTCTTGTCGCAGCTCCTACAAATGAGCTGAGTGGCATGAGCCAGGTAAAGACTCTGTGATCGGCTTGGTGACCCTTCATATTTTCACCCATTTTATCCCACTTGTTAAACAATAACTCTGCTATTACTTCCTCTGACCATTTGGTAATTCTGTGCTGCTCTCTAAAATTGCATCACATGTGAGTCCAGTGTTCAGGTGGAGAGCTGCTCAGTGTGAGGGAGGTGTGCGGTGTTTGTAACCGAGGAGGAGAGCTGACTCGCTGCCTCCAGTGTTTGCAGCGCTTCCACACACACTGCCTCTCCTCCAAGTAAGAAACACACTCCTCACTATCATCTCCTACCTTTTCAGAAGATGACATGCATACTTCCCACAAACGTGACATTTCTAATCTCAGCCTCAATGTGATCCATGCATCAGTGTGTAAATATGTCCTCACTGATAAAGACCTTCCTCTGGACTCCCGTTTGTGTTTGTATTGATCAACAATGTGCATTAACGCTCTGATCCTTATCTTGCTAATGGTGACTAATGGGTTTTAAATGGACAGTTGCAGCAGGGTGTGCAGTATACTGTATACTCATGATCTGATTATGAGACAATGGTCCCCTGGGCACAAACATGTAAAAGGACCCCACCCCTCCTACATACAGTAAGAACAAGACTTTTTGCGTCTCTTGTGACTTCCCGATAAGAAATCTCTGCAGTAATTTCAATCAGAGGCTCTGGCCCACTCGGTCCTTTAAGTAATCTGTCCATGTGTATAATGCAGATAAAGATCAATGATATATCTCAATATTACCATAGAAACAGAGAACAAATGAAACCTTGGTGATGACCTCATAAACCAATTTGACTGTTGTCTAAGTGCGTTTGTGTGATAGTTGGTGATGAAGTTAAGATTCCTTTACCATTTTTAGCAGAGCATGAAATGTTACCTGAAACCTTTTTTTGGAGTTTGCAGCATTTTATAAATGCCATTTGATTTAAAATCATTGAATAATACGTTTGACATGATGAGCAAACAGTTCAGTCTTCCACCTGAAACCTATTGCTCTGTTATCCTCAGGAGTGTTGCTCATCATTGACGGTAGCATTCTTTACCACAGAAACACTCTGACTCACCATCTGTGTCTCTGTGTGTGTTAGAGGGACATCCATCTGCCCGTCCTGCTCCGGGCCCTGGGGCGGCTCCGCAGGGAGGGAGGCTGAATCATCCAGAGTCCTACAGGTGTGTCTGCACGTGTGTGTACACATGATATATACACCTTCATTATCTGAATGTGATTGATTTTAATCTCGTGTGCGTGTCTAGCTCGCCCCAGGGGTTCATGATCAGAGCCCCCCGGTCCCTGAGCCCGGCCTCCACAAAGATGAGCTGGACTCCATCCTGGGAGACGTGAGTGAGGCACAGTTATGTCGATAAAACAGATGTAGACATGATATGAATACAGCACACAGCCATGCATGTCACAGACAAGATGACTGCACAGGGAGGGAGTTGTTATGAAGCTGCTTGTGTTTCAACAAAACAGCGCCTCTTTATCAAACTGAAAATAAAAACAAATCATAGAATATGAAAGAATGAATACATTTGGGTCCAGGTAACAGTGTGTGCTGAGAAAGATTCAAACGGTTTTAAATCTTACACATTTATGTCGTACTATAAGCTAACACTGCTGCGTTTAAGGTGTGATGATTAAGTTCTTGCCCATGCAATATTACAACAGTTTCATTAAGTTTAGGTAAGATTTAATGAATGTCAGGAATGCCGGATTCATTAACAGTCATTGTTCTAATAGTACCAATATCCTCTTTGTTAGTTGTGTTTTTCTTCAACAACAGAATAGATCATTTGTGTTTCTCTCCTTCTGGTTGTAAAAATGATTTTGCACTCAAAAAACTATAAATTCTTAACCAGATTGATATATAAGGATTAGACCTTTTCAGGGCCTCATATTCACCTCATCTAAAGTTGTGGTTCAAATACATAACTCTAACACATTAAGGATGTAAGATGATTATAACGAGGAAACATTTGATGTTGTTTCCTGGCTGAACCTTTCAGTTGACTCAGATCCACATGGAGGAAGAGTGCATGTGCTGACCGAATGACCTACAACTTCAAAAATGCACTGATGTAATGTCATTTAATAACAGCAGCAATAATCTGATAAAGATTGTAACATTATCGTTGTCATGGACATCATATTGTACATGTTTGCCAAATGATGTCACCAGGACTCTGCCTTTTGTCCAGAGATTGATCCGGCTGTTTGTTTCTGCTCTCTGGGTCTCAGCAGGGATCCATTGACAGCATCTTGCAGTGGGCTTTCCACAACATCTCTCGGCCCCTCCCCGACTCCCAAGGGTGCTTCCAGTGACCGACAGACGCCTGCCCTCTCAGGGGGAATAAGTTATGCCGTAAAGTAACAATAATGACTTAAACATGGATAATGAAATGCAGACTATGAAGTAAATGTCTGTTAGCGGCTGATTTCACATCATTATTTGTTTTAATATTTTTTAAATTTCTTTCTTTTTCAAGTCAAAACAGTGCATCCTCTCAAATCACACATTTTAGATAATATGTTTGTTTATAGATATTTTATCGGGGGCCCTTCTGACCCTCCTGCTCCTGGCCTCTGTGTAATGTGTTTGTACCATGATGCCTTTGAGTTCCACTCGCTTTATTTCAAACAGCACTCAGTGTTTGAATAATAATAGTATTCTTTTTTTGGAGCTTTTACTTGAACAAATCTTATTTAGGAACATGCACCATGTGGGCAATGTATGGGCGGAAATAACAGAGCTCTTAAAACGCTTGATTTTCAACATTCAACCCTCTGCAAGAAAACATATCCTAACACCGCAGGACATACTTTTGTTGAAATTGTTATAAGTGTCACAAGTGCGCGATAAATCTAACTATTGAAAAAAACTGAGATATAGTGAGCTTTGTACTTTCTGTGTCTCAGATGTTGTGCCCGGTTGTTAAAATGCTTGTACCAAAGGACATTATTGCGTGATATGAAGTTAGATCGACTTTTTTTCATGCTTTTCAACTTCAAACTTCACTCCATCCTATTTAAGAAGAGTCAAAACAAGACTTATCGTGCAGGACGTGGGGTCAGCATTGACGTAGGGGGCTGTCAGTTAGCCTTGGACGTCTTTTGCAAACTTTGCTTATCAAACTGGAATTCATGTACGTTTAAAAAAACATTTCTAAAAAGCCATAAAACTAGAAGTGAATCCTTTATCTTTTCTTATGTCTTACCTGTTCCCCCGTGTGTGTGTGAATGTGTTTATTTTGAAGAAGGCAGTGTCGGAGGAGTTATTTTTCTCACTGGTTAACAATTTAAAATCAGTTAGCACACTAATGTCAGAGAGGACATCGGTTTCTCATCCCAGAAAATTATAATAAAGACAATGAAACTTTCACACATGCATAAAGATTCCAGATTCACACGTTACACCAGATGGTTTCAATAGGATGAGGTATGCAAGCTGAGAAATGCCTCTGTTTAACAGGAATTCCTTGAAGACTATCACTTAGATGTGGAATGTTGTTTTTGTCATGGGATTCAAGAGTTTTAGCATGACTGCCAGAGGGATGGAGCTCGGCCAGGCAGATTTTTCTCCCCTCGGTATTCGGTTGCCATGGCTCTCAGCTCCTACAGGCCCAAAACAGAGGATGATAAACACGTTCCTGTGTGTGTCTGTTTGTTTATGAATCCACTTTCTAAATGGTTCATGAAACATCCTGCATACTTTGGGGCTCTGGATCCCTGCAGGGAAAGCAACATCACTGACAGAGATACAAAAGTTGTATTTGAATCTTTCATATAGAGAACATCTGACATACATTGGTGTCAATTCTGTGTAAATGTCACTTAGTTAGCACTGCTGTACTCTGTCTTAATAAGTCACTGACTAAACTAACAATATTTCTCCTTTTTTTTTTCGCCAGGCAAACCCCTTCTCACCACTAGATGGCATCCACCTGATTGATGGGATGTAACACTCATCTATTCTGCAGTATACTTCACTGAACTCAAGCAACCTACAAACTGTGATAAGGAAAGTATTTCCTTTTACAAAACAACGTTTGTGTCGAGTTGTGTGAATGTCCCTGATTTAATCAAAAATAAAGAGATACTTGTCCCAACTATTTAGAACAAACTATATGTCCTACTTTGTGTTTGTCTAATTTAATAGATTTGCGAAAATTGAATTCTAAGACGTACAATGCAATATACAGTAAATGTATTGATGCATAAGTTATAGCAACAACACAATACTCTGAAATAGGCTGCTGTCTTAGCAAACATGCTTTTACTTTTAAATGTTTTGCTCCTAATTATTTTGTACTTATATTTAAATTGTAAAATATCTTATGTCTGCAGCTGTTTTTCTTTAAAAAAAAAGTTTTTCCTGTGAATTGATGCTTTTTACCGATGTTCACTTTATCACAAAGTTTTAAAGTATTTAGAAGTTTGAGTGCATACATATATGGTGTATAATAACATATACATTTGGTATACCCTCAGAGTATTATGATGTACTTTGTGTTAGGGCTGATTCTTGCTTATCACCTCTGTTGCATCATCTCTTCCTTCTAATCTTGCATATCTTATGTCCCGCCCCGCTGCATTCCTGTATGATGTCCAATGAAACAAACATGTCACCAATAGTGTTATGTGTAGTTCATGGCCTCGGTCATCATGTACGCACTTCTGCCAGATGCTGCTTTGAAGAAATAGTTTGACATTTTGTGCCCCATGCTTTCTTTCCAAGAGTTGATGACACAACCTCTAAAGCTCACACATTTGTATGTCAAAACTAGACATTGAAAGACTTGGATACACAGAATTCTTAAATATGGTAATGGTTTACAAAAAAGAAACACTTTCAACACTTTCAACAGGCTTAGTCTAAATCTCTTAACATGTACATTCTGTCTGTTCCATTAGTGTAAAGAAATATTTTTGAATTTATATTGGGAGGCTGAGTGATTCTCAGATGACCGTTTCTTGTTTGGAAAGTGAAAAAGCGGGAGTTCCAATAATATTAGTAATACACGTATAAACAGTCAGTTTCTGTGAAGGTTACATTCCTTGAACACACATATCCTGTTACAACTCTATTGGCCACAAGCGAGGAATTCTTTGGAAAACTGTAATAGATGAAATTCCCACGCTTTGGGCATCCTCTCCTCACATTTTTGTGCACTTCATAAGTGTAGGCAGCGGGCCAGTGTGTGTTCCTGCTGATGGTTTCTGAGAGGTGAAGCCTGCACTTCCAGTCAGGACCCTTCGCCTTTCCCTCATGCTATTGTTGTGGGCAGGAAACTGCGAGAGGCCCTCCATTGTCTTGGCTCAATCTTCAGAGCAGAAAGTGTAACTCCCTGAAAGTCATAAGAGCTGGAACTCTTTGGAAGTTACTTTGCAGGAGCAAAAATATTGGCAAACTAGACTTGTCTACTTTTTCATAATATGTGAAATATCTTCATAACTAAAGGAACCTTTTTCGTCAACACATTTTTCTACAAAGCAGTCATCTGAAGGCCATTTTTATGTTCCCCCTTTTGAAGAGAACATATAGGATGTTTATTAGATAGGTTGCTTTATTTATTATTTACATTCTCTAAGAGCTGTCTTTTGTTATAAACAGGCTTTTAAAGTTATTTTGGCTCAGTGCTTTCTCTGAAGTCACAGAAGGCTTAGTTAATAAATACTTTCAGTGATAGACGCTTTAATGAGAGGATAATAAAAAATGACTTAGATAATATCAATTCATAAAATGTGATTAGCCAACAGTATATTAAGCTGTCAAACCCCTATCACCACCGGCTGAAACATGCTGTTCACAACATCCTTTTCTTGAGAATGAATAATCCAGTAATATAATGTAAATATGTATGCAACATGCTGAAAGGGGCCAATCTGCAAAGTGACTTTTGATAACAAATATATGTAATATATATTTCAAAGTTTATTAGTGTATTTTATTGCAATTCATTTTAAAGTTTTCCTTTGCAACGTTTGTATCTAGTGAAATGTTCCAGGTCCAACATTCCTGCGTTGCATAAGAGAGGTCTGAAGTCAATAAGGTCTAAGTTCTTATTTGTGTTTCTGATTTCACTGAAGTATATCAGAACATAATGTGAGCTGGGGGTGAACACACTGCCAACGCACGCGCGCACGCACGCGCGCACACACACACACACACACACACACACACACACACACACACACACACACACACACACACACACACACACACACACACACACTCCACCACCAACACAGCTGTCTCACATGCTTTTCCTTTTCTGCCAAGAACCATTAAGCGTGTTCTCTCTTCTGATGTAAAATGTCAGGGTCAGTTTGTCTTCTTGGGTGGGTGATGCATGCTCCATGTGTAGCCCAACATAAGGCACAAGTCCAAAACAATAACCACTTTACTTGGCTAAACAATGATCAAGTGTCTTTTTCTTTCACCAAGCAGAGCAGCCAAGAACACTAAGTATCTGTGACGCAAAAGAATAAAGTGGCATGACAGTGGCTGCTCAGCATCTATTCGTCTAGACGTCTGACTAATTGCACAGCAATTTATTAGAACTAATTTACCACTGTCTGTGGTCGCCTCTTGTCTCTGTCTTCAGAGCTGACCATTTTGCTCTAAACAGCAAAAACGAAGACAAACATCTAAAATATCTACTTAGGGGGAAGAAAGCTCCTCTAACTCTCCCTGAGTCCCCAGAGAGGCCAGATAATGATACGCTGGCAGCACAGATTGCAGGGTTGCCATCGGGCTGGAACTGTAAACACAGCGGAGAAACCTCGTTAGGACATTCCAGAAAGATCCTCAACTGGGAATTTCTTGGAAGAGCTTCTCTAGTGTTTGCATTCTTCCTTTGGGACAGCAGTGCTAACAGGGTCTCCTGTGATCACGGCCCTGTCCCGAGAGAGAAGTATATGAGGAGCAATAGAGGTGAGCAGATGTTGAACATTCCTCTGCAAACTGTGAACTGTGGACAGCAGGTACATGTCAGTACAGTAGATGTTTGTCCTGCTTTTTTAGATTTAAAATCTAATTTAATCATATCATTTTACAGAGGATTAGCCAGTGAATTGACTTGCACTGAGTACACTGTGTAACTTTGACTGGACAGGTCCACAAAGGGTTGTGTAATACTAAAAGCTAAACATCTCTTTAGCATTTATTAGTTATTGTTTTGTTAGTCTTAAATCCTAAGTGGAGTGCTAAATCAAGACGGGCAAGTCGCACTGAATTTTGTTTTTTACTACTGCAAAGTTATTTCCCAATTTTGGGGATTTGGGGAAGGTATCAGGAATGTATTTTCTACCCACCTGACATGCCTTTAGGCTCCACACTTTGAGAACTTCTGGTTAAGTGTCACTAACACCTTGTTTCTAAAAAAATAATTATTATGAAATGCTCTAAAAACCAACTGCAGGCCTACACAGAACCAAACACTGACGGACAAAAGAGACAGATATTTCCCACAGAAGATGGTGGACTAACGTTGGTCAGGTGCTGGATGTGTTCACCATTTTATCTTTATGAGTTGAAAATAATAGTAAGGTTAATACAAAGTTGTATATCGGAAATCAAAAAACGTACCCAGTCATTTTAATATGGAAAAAGAAATCAATCCTAAAGTTAGAATTTGAAGGGCTGTTTTAATATGTCATTCTTTATGACCCAAACTACACGACCCAGATTTTTGAGTTTGAATAAATTAATCTTAACATGGACATGTTCTTGGTATCATATGGTGCGTTCTGAAAATGTAATGTCATGATTGTTTGTCGACATTGAATGGATTTTTAAAGAAGGATTTCAAGCTAGTGTAACAAATGTAACATAACTGAGTTGCTATGTTTAAAGCTGATGGCAAGCATCACCTAAGAAGCAAACATAATGTTAGTCATTATCATTGCTTGATTTGATTACAGTAACATTTGAAAGTTGAAGAAAGTTTTAGTCAGTTGAGTTATAATAAAAGAATGTTTTTGATTACATGATGCGAGAAGGGTAAAAGACACTAATAACAATTATTCATTAGAAAGATTCAATGATTTTCTGTCGAAATCGAAAGCATTTTCTGATTCTGTTTTCCAACAACAACAACACAGCTGACCTTTATCTATCTGGATCAATGCATAATGTGTCCTTTCATTAACTTTGAAGCGTTTCAAATTATTTATTTTTCCTTTCGTATTTATGGCTATTTGAATTTGTCTCAGAATAGAAACTTTCCTCTGGCTTTCCCCCCTAGCCTTAAAAATAGACATTCTGTGTATAACACGACAATAGCCTTCTTTTGATCGACACAATGCTGTCTTTGTGTGTCAGCAGACCCTACAGGCCTTGAGTTGCACCATTAGCATATCTCGCAGCTGAATCATCTTCACTTACTGGCAAAAGCTAGAAGTCATTCATACGATAATGGATTTTTCCAGTTGACACTTTAAGAAATTCTTTGGTTTACACAATACTTAAAGCAAGTCAAGCCGAAGAACAAGCTGCCAGAGGAAGTTAACTGTTACAACACTTCTGCGGTGTGTAAGTGTTGAACATGTCATTTAAGGCCAAAACTACTTTCCAGTGTCAATCAAAGAAAAGTAAAAGAAACAGTTGGGTTCATTTGGTGACTTTGAATGCCATAGCATATCAATTTAATCCTCATTAAACCATTTAGTAAAGTCTTGTGTACAGACGCATTTGTTACATTTCTTCACTGAGGCAGTTTTTCTTATAAATTGACACCACCTATGTATCATAAATGTGTTTTTACAGTATAATAGCTTATTGGTCAAAATAAAAAGGTTTAGGTCAAGTGGTTGTTCAGAGTTTGATGGCTCAGTATATACAGTTTTATTGCACAATATAACCACCCAGTATTGCACAATGTCAGTATGACAGTTGAAGGAGTGTAAATAGCTGAATAGTCGCCAGTAAAGAGACATAATATAAAACAGGTTAATGTTTCAACAGTAGATTTAAATGCACCCAAAATTCCTGAAGTGCACATTATTGATTCGAGATGGTTTTAGTTTGCCCCTTGTCCCTGAAAAGATGCACACTTCCCTCTGTGCTGTGGAACAGTCAGCAGGTGGTGGGA